AACGTCACCCACAGGTCATTGCCCCACACGGATCTTTGCCCAACTTTTGAAGAAATCTTGACTTTCCATCTTTACTTATACAATTCTTGCCTTCCACAACATGGCACGCAAATCCATTGAAGCTAATCTTCAATTAGCTATCCAAACTAAACGACGCGATCCTCACCTAAGTGGGAACAAGCTTGGTAAAATCTTTAAAGTCGACTATAAGATAACAGAGGACTAGTGGCACACAGTCCACTGGCGGAGCCCTAGTTACTCCGTAACAATGTACACTAGTTAGATAGGTAACATTCTACCGTTACACCTGACGGAGGTTAACTTAGCTCAATCAACATCACAATCCTCCATGAGGTTATGAGCCCTCTGCTTTCGCAACGCAGACTGCAGCATCATCTTCTGCAGCATCTGCATCTTTTGCAGCATCATCAACTTCATCTGCATCATTTGCAACATCATTCATCATCATCATCGTTCAAATTCGACGATAATCCATTCTATTTGACACCAAACTGCAGTGCAGCAGAAACCTGCCTGCTGTTGCAAACCTTCGTTGCAACATCTGGTGAATCGCGCGTGAAACACACGTGAATCGCACCTCAACTTCCGTTGAAAGGCATTGGCACAATTGACGAAACCATCATTCATCATGGCGCATCGAATCCCACCATCAACATTGTATAATCTCTTCGGCATCACTGACGATCAACAGCAAGCCGAATCATCATCATCATCATCATCATCATCATCATCGCGAAATTTCGTATCTCCGTACAAGATGGAGGGTTTCGCACCCAGAATCTCGATTAAACCCTTGACGGGCCAAATCACCCACGAAGCATGGACGCAATCCATCCTCGATGTCTCCAAGATCATGAAATCAACACAAGTCTTGGAAATGAGCAACAGACCACCCGATTCCCAGAAGAATGAGCAGGAAGAATGGGATCAAAAGGAAGTGACCCTTCGCTACATGCTGGAGCAGTCGATAAAGGAAAATATCATGAATGACATGATAAACCTTGGCTATACAAACGAATCAGTCCAAGACTGCTTGACAAAAGCAGAACAGGCTGTTTGGCAGAATCAATTCGGCAACAACTACAATCAACAGGGGAGATTTCTGACCATTTGTCTTGATATGTCTGAATTCAAGGATACAAGAGCATGGGTCAAAGAGCTTCTCTTCCTCAAGACAAAGATGGAGAAGGAACACGACATGAAGTTCTCCGAAAGCTTCATGATTGGAATCATTCATCAAGCAATGACGAAACAAGACAAGCACCTTGGCGATCGTCTCAAAGATTTGATCGCAGCTACCAAGATGGATTTCCAGAAAGTCCTTGCTTTTCTTCACGAAAACACAACAACAGTCGGCAAATCTCTGTCAAATGTTCATTCTGGCAGAGATAATGGCAGAAACAACAGGAATAACAACGGAAGAGAAAGTCGAGATGAATATATGAAACCTGACAAGAAGAAGGAAGCCCAAAATAAGACCGAAAATGAGTCATACTGCAGAATTTGCAACCGCGATCATTCTGAGAATGAAGAAGGCAAGAAAGGTGAAAAGATCTGCAAACATATGACACAACCAGAGGGATGGAAGACAAATCAAGCAACGAGAACACGAATGAAGGTCCTTCTCGGTAAAGAGGCTGTGGCCAAGATATTGGATAAGAAGAACAACTCTCCATCCGCGACTTCCCTTCATTTCGGCACTTCACATCTCGCGATTGCTATTGATGACGAAAATTGCTTCGGCAGCAGCTGGGATTCTGAATTCATTAATACAACCTTGGATTCAGCAATTGACGATGACGAACACGTTGAGCAAACAGAAGAAAACGAACCACTGGCGATCTCGAGCGAAAGAGGTGATAAGTGGCAAGATTATGACGAAGTTTTGCAAGATGCTGCTGATCAACAGGAATCATATGCCCTGGCGAACACGTTGAATGTACAAGCTGATGACTTCGTCGTTGATGGTGGTTCGTCAGATCACATAACGAATACCAAAGAACGATTTACAGACTTCAAGGACATCAAACCACGAAACTCTTTGACCAGCAACAGCGGATATTCCCAAGCTGTTGGCATGGGAACTCTTGAGGTTGAAGCGAAAGGTATTGACAACAAATACCGCAATGTCATCTTCGAGGAAGTATATTACTCTCCTCCAGCTTCTGCCACACTCATATCTGTTGGCAAATTACGCAAAGTTGGCGTAGTGATTGATGGCTATCGCAACTGTCTTGCAAGTGAAGATGGAAAGCCATTACTCAAACTTCATCTTGTTGACGATGTTTACATCTTGGGCATCAAGAAAACCACTATTCGACATGCTTATGCCTATTTGTCTGCGGCACAAGCATATGACCTGTGGCATCGTCGCTTTCTTCATTGTAGCAATGAGGCACGATTCAGAGCACTCGAACCACTGGGAATCAAGCTACATCGCCCACAAGGTTACAACTGCGAAACATGCCATGGAAAGGATACTAAACGCCAAATTAGCTATGATCCTTTGAGAAGACCACTAAAGATCCTTGACATTGTCGATGTTGACACGTTCAAGATCTCTCCAGTCGGAATCCATGAAATGAATCACGCTATTCACTGGTGTGACCGCAAAACAAGAATGTGCTGGCTTGAATTTATGGCTAAGCGTTCTGAAGCCTCTGATCTAATGATCAAATTTGACAAATTTCAAATCAAACAGACAGGAGGTATTGAAGTTCAGGAATACCACATGGATGGCGCCAAAGAATTCAATAAAGCGATTGAATTATTCGAAGCCAGAGGATCGAAGGTAATGATTACAGCGCCACGTAGCCCAGAAAAAAATCCTCTGATCGAGAAAATGGGCCACATTCATGAAATTCGATTGCGGGCAGCTTTCCTTGACACAGGCGTACCCAAATTTCTGTGGCCCTCTGCTCTGAAGCATGCCATAGAAGTTCACAACAACACTCCGAAGAAGTCTTTGGAATGGATTTCGCCTACTCAAGCATGGGCAAGGGAGCTGAATCCTGATCAGCGACTTCAAGATGGCCTAAATCGAAAACATATGATAGCTTGGGGTACCAAAGTCTGGGTACACATTAAGCCAGAAGACCGCGTTGCCTCCGAGAAAGCGAACTCCAGAGCAATGGAAGGCCTATACCTTGGCTCCAAAGGTTCTTATGGCAAGGTCCATAAAGCCTACATTCCTGAGCTCCAACGCATAATTTGTACTCGAGATATGACGCACAATGACGCCTCACTGAAGGATCTTCCACTTGTGAAGTTTGAGGAACGCAAGGACATTGCTGAACCTAAACCTCTTGAGATCACCATCAAAATACCTACTAAGACGGACAAAGTTGACAATGCCAATCCTCCAGACTGGAATTTGTTGGAAGATCAACGCGACAATTCTCAAGAACAGAGTAATGCAGGAAACAACGAAGAAAATGTTGGCAATGGAGGCAGCGATGATGACGATGAGGATCCAGTTGGTGACCAAGAAAAAGGCTTGTATAGCCAGATTATTGGAAAACTCCATTGGTGTGGCATCACAAGGCCAGATATCTGCCAGAGATTGAATCAACTGGCTAGAGCTTTGTCAAAACCAACAAGCCAGCATTTGATAGCTGTTGACGAGATGATTCATTATTTGAATCTGACAGCAACATTGGGAATATATGCTTTGGCGGGTTGCAATGTGACACTAGCAACACAGGCCTTATGGCAATGGCAGACGCGAGTTTTGCTGATGACAAGAAAACTCGTTATTCAACAGCGGGCCACATCGTATTTCTGACTGGCGGTGCCTTGTACTGGAAATCAGCGCCACAAGGACTCGTCACTTTATCGACAACGGAGGCAGAAGGCATAAATCTCACTCCAACTGCCAAGTCACTATTGTATACAGCCGAAATGCTTAAGGAATATGACATGAATCCGGAGAGACCATATCTACTCCATACCGATAGCGCGAATGCGATGATGCTCATCAAGGATCGTCAAACCAACGCCCGAACACGTCACATTGATGTTCGCCTCAAATGGATTCAACAGACGATCAAAGAAGGCAAAATAGATGTCAAACACATCAGCGGCATGTTGATGGCAGCAGACGGGTTGACGAAGCTATTGAAGAAGGCGAAACACCAGAAGTTTATCGAGATGCTGGGCATGGTCACAATCAACGAATTCACAAATGGCAGATGAATTGAAAGTTGAGCGGTCACGAGCGGCAGAATCGCTATGAGATTTATTGACAACAGTCGCTAAATTGACGATTTGACGGCTGAAATTCATCAAATTGGAATATCAGCTTACGCTGGGAGTCAGTAACAGAGGACTAGTGGCATACAGTCCACTGGCGGAGCCCTAGTTACTCCGTAACAATGTACACTACTTAGATAGGTAACATTCTACCGTTACACCTGACGGAGGTTAATTTAGCTCAATCAACATCACAATCTGTCGAATATCACGTGTGTCCATTCGAGTAGTCAGAAGTGCATAAGATTGTATATGAATGAGGTGTGTTCTTGTCTGTGTCTTCTGTTCTCGCGAACTCCCGTTGCTCTGCCTTTTATAGATGCTTTAGAACATGTCGGTAACTTTGGTGTTACTTTTGAGAAGAGGGGTTCCTTTCGCCTTCTGAACTTTAAGTGACAATAGTCTTCTCTACTGCCATATTATTTCTGAACCTAGGAACCAGGTGCCCTATCTGACACAATCCTCCATGATATACCAGACTAAGTCTAGTTTAGCCGCACCTAACCCAGGTGCCCGCCAGTCTATTACTGGTGGAGTGTGAGTTACCCCTATATATATATACTATGATTTTGCTAAATATGGAAAGCTGCTTCGTAGAAGTCGGTATTACTGGCTCTGGCCAGATGTGTGGTGCTAGCTTTGCTAGCCAAATGTCTGTAAGTTGCTCACATATAGTCTGCATATGCAGAACTAGTACTGATTATCTAAGCTACTCCGCCACCAGCGCACTTGTGGATCCAAATCAGAGGATCTGATTGGCTACATCGTTGCTCTTAAGCAACATTTCGTAGCTTCGGAAATAGCTGAGCTTTCTAGAAAAAACACCATCAAAAGAGATCTGAACCACACAACTGACTTGGCACGAAATCAATCCTGATATTCGTGACTTGAGTCCTGTGAGGTCAGATCGACCAGGATACACACACTGAGCATCCCGGAGATTTATATGAAGGCCAAAAAAAGATGTTTTTGTTTCTTCCTTTATGATGGTTACTTCTGTTTTGAAGCGGGGTTTTGTAGCCCTACGCTTGGCCGTACCTTCCCATCTCCCGGTGCCAGTAAGTTTACTATCTCTGCCTCTGTTCTGCAAATACTAACTATATTCAGTCGCTAATAAGACCCGCGCCAATACCAGCGAAGAGGAGCGTGGCATGGCCCGCGAGTAAGTTCTATGTTTAAGCACTGCATATACACAGCTAATACAAGCAGCGCACTCGAGAAGTATGTGCTGCAGGGCAACTGGCGCAGCGCCGAATTCCGTACCGAGCCTGGGTAGGTGCATATACTACATATATACAGTGAATATACTAATAATAATCAGCCGAGGACCCGACGCCTCACCCGGAGAGGTTAATGCTATCAATATCGGCATGATGGCTGATGATCTAGAGCTGCTGGCGTAGGTCACATATCCTGTGCATATGCACCATATATACTAACTTATATTAACTCCCAAGACCAGCAATTCGCCGCCCAGTATGGAACTCAGTTCCACAGAGACGCAAGTCCTGCATATGCACTACATGTCCCTTCTTATATTTCCAAGATATCGCCGCAAGTCCGGCGGCCAAGGGTAAGGGTTCCAGAACCCATACCTTTAGTTGACTCCGTCAACTCCGATAACGATATAACAATTATACCACGCACGCAGCCCGCGGATATGCAAGAAATACGACAACCTGTCTTTCCTACGTCGCATATGCCGCAGCCTCAAGTAACTATCGCCTCTCCGGAACCATTCTCTACACCTTCATTACCGCTAGCCCCGAATAACGATACTGTGCCTATTCTACGCATATCCGAGGCTGAAACACATGGCTTAACCTCGGAACAAAATGAGGTTCTACGCTATAAGTCACCATCTTCCTCACCACTGTCAAACTTAAGCGAGGGAGATACAGCGCATATGCGCGATATTAATGAGATTGCTGCAATGTTACAGGATGACATCGGCCGGTCTAATCCGTACGATATTGCCCCATCACCACCACGAACACGTGTACGTGACACTGTAACGGGGCAAAAGCGAGCTATAGCTCCTGCCCGGGTGCTTACCTGGGCTCAAAAGCGCAAAAGTCAGATACATAACTAAGTATCTACTTCCTATGATTGCCCTAGTTCGTCTGAACTTATTTTATATGGCCTATGCTAGAGCTGTGCATATGCTAACAACTCATATAGCCAGCGCTGCCTAAGACTCCTTCCTCGGGAAAGAAGGTAATATGAAATTTTATTAGATATGTACTGCATATGCTAATAATGTACAGAGAGGCCGGGTCCCCGCTCCCGGTCAGCCGGAGGAGGGTACGCCTTCTAAGAGGCAGAAGAGTGAGAAATCCCAGCCCCTGATGCCTTGCATATACACAGCTAATATAAGATAGCCCCTGGTAAGAAGAGTAAGACAAAGAACTGTAAGTCGCCGGATCATTCTTATATAAAACTCATATATACTTACTATATCTAGCTGTCACTCCTCGCCGATCAACCCGCCTGGCACATAAGTCATAATACAATAGCAGGTCTCGTGTGTATATCGTGAATATACAGAAGTGTTGGTTCTGATTCGACCTCGGCGTGTATAGACACACATAGCAAATAAAATGTACCGGAGCTTTGCATATGCGCAGTATACGATACTCATATCCACTACTCTCTAATCCCTCTGTAAGAAGCTGTGCTAGCTGAGCGTCAAGTGCCTTTTCCTGCTCCTTTTCTTCTCTCCGTCTTTCTTCGATGAGAAGGAACATTCTACCGGATCGCTGCTCTCCATCATTTCCTCGAGTACGGAAGAACTCACCGGCCTTGGCGGTCCGGTGATGGGCGGAACGCTCACTTTTACCTCCACAATAGTTGGAGGTATCATTCTCTCCCTCGCTGTCGGCTGGAAACTAGCATTAGTCTGTACCACTACAATACCAATCATCGTGGCTTGTGGCTGGCTCCGTCTCCAAATTCTTGCTGTCTTCGACGCCAAGACAAGGCAGGACGGGAGGGATTCAGCATCGTATGCCAGTGAGTTGGTTAAGTCGGTCGAAACTGTCGCTTCTCTTGGTCTAGAGGAGTTTGTCTTAAACATATATGATGAGTTCCTAGCGCAGCAGTCAGCACAATCTTTGCGCTCCATACTCACTGCATCAGCCTGTATGCGGCGTCGCAGTCCATTGTCTATCTCTGTGCGGCCCTGGCTTTTTAGTACGGCGGAATACTCATTGAAGATGGCGAGTATTCGTTGTTTCAATTTATAATTTGCTTTTTTCGCTTATTTCAGGCTCGCAGATCGCTGGGTCGATATTCACATTCGCGCCTGATGCGAGCAAGGCAATGCACGCTGCTTGGGAGGTGAAGGGAATACTCGAGCGGAAGCCTCTAATCAGTCCTAATCATAACGGTGGTGACCCTGACGGTGACCTAAGCGGACGAGGTGTAGAGCACGGCACCATTGAGTTCAAGAACGTCAGTTTCAGTTATCCTTCTCGGCCTCAACGACTTGCCCTGGATGACTTCAGCCTCAAGGTTGAGCCAGGCCAGAGTGTTGCTCTTGTTGGGGGAAGCGGTTCCGGCAAGAGCACTGTTTTTGCCCTCGCCGAGCGCTTCTATGATCCGAACCGGGGATCGGTGCTTGCTGGTGGACATGACATCTCAAAGCTTAACCTTAGGCAATATCGACAGATCATATCGCTCGTTAGTCAAGAAGCAGTTCTGTATTCGGTATCGATTAGGGAGAACATTGCGCTAGGTATGTCAGACCAAAATGTTCCCGATGAGGCCACATGGGCAGCCTGCAAGCAGGCAAACATCCACGACTTCGTCGCTTCCCTTCAAGACGGTCTCTCTACGCTTTTTGGCCCAAGTGGCAGCATGCTTAGCGGCGGGCAGAAGCAGCGTATTGCCATAGAAAGAGCGCTGTTGCGGCAGCCCAAGATCCTGCTGCTGGACGAGGCGACGTCGGCGCTGGATACGGAAAGCGAAAGGCTGATCCAAGCAGCCCTTGAGGACGCAGCGGAAGATAAAACTACCGTGCTGAGGTCTCGACGGATGAAAGGAGACATGTAGTTTGTTTTCCTATCGATAGTATCTATCAGTCTATGTCGACAAGCACTTCCTTTTCACTAGAGCCCTGACCAAACGGGTGCTCTTTTAAGTGAAGTGGTGAAACTGAAGTTAGGTAGTTATATACAATGCAAATTCTGCATGTTCACAAACTCCCAGTCTTCTCCCTTCTTTGCAAGGAGCTCTTCGTGCGTACCACTCTCTACCAGCGCCCCCTGGCTCAGCACGTGTATTCGGTCGGCTTTCCTGACCGTGCTGAGCCGGTGTGCTATCGTGAGTGTAACTATGAAAAAAATCTTTTCAACCTTAAGCTGGACTCCGATTCCAAAAGTCCTCGGACAACTTCCCTAGTTGTCTACCGGAATACAAACCGAACCTCCTCTCTCACTACAGCAGCAAGCTCCAGCGCTTCTCTCCTCGACACCCTCGAGAAGACATTGAAGTATGCCATGAAAGTGTTGATCCCTGTATGTGGGTGCGGTATTCGTTGCCCTTTTGTCGCTAGACAGCCATACCGACTCACGTGTTTGACGAGGTCCGGCCGCCGGGCAAAGAGGTCGGTGCAAATGTCGTCAGAATCGAAGATGCCCTCGCAAGAGGTATCATAATCGGCAGAGATGAACACCATAACACAGGTATACTGTGGCCCACGTTCGTAGGGTTGTGAAAGTGCCCGCACGCGGGGCTTATCGCGGAGTGAGAATAGCATGCCGAGACCCCAATAATCCACGCCCCATGTGGACTCGATAATCTGTGTGACTTTCATTCCTGGAGGACGAGGGTTAATCTCGATAAGCCACGGGGCGGGCTCCTTTGACTTTGTGGACGTGCCGTTTCCGTTGATGACTGGCAGCGGCGCAAGGTCAAGCACACCATCTCCCTGCCGGTAATCGACAGAAGAATGTTCGACACGGCTCTCAAGATGCATGATGCGACTCTCGAAGCCCAGTCGGGAGAACATCTCATGGAAGTTGTCACGGATAAGATCCAGCTCTTTCTGGGGAAGGGCGGATGGGGAGACACTATTGAGTTCGTGGAAATTGCTTGCTGCAGGACTGCTGCCATTACATGCATTCGGATTATCTGCTGTCTTGAGAAAGTCGTCACAACATTCGAAAAAAATAATCTCGCCATCCAGGAGTACAAAGTTGGCATCAACCTCAGGCCCTGAACAATACTTTTCGACAACAAGCTCATTACCATGTCGCTCCGTATTGATGGAGCTAACCGCCGCTGAAAGCTCTGACAGACTGCTGATGCGGGAGACTCCATCAGAACTGTATCCTCTGCAGGGTTTGATGATGAGAAGGAATTCAACCATCTTCTCTTGCGCGAGCCGGACCGCCTCCTCGGCGCTAGAGGCCCGGAAAGCGACATGCCCTGGGAAAATACTAGTTTTGTACTTGTCCGTTGCAATTCGGTAAGCTCTCGGGCCATGCAAATGTAGGGAGGCCTAATCGCTTAGCGGCATGTGCAACGTCCGCCTGGTACTGTTCCCAAAAGGTGATTATACCATCAATGGGTTTGTCGTAGGATTTGACAGATGCCACGATTCTGCCTGCAAATTCGGGGTCGGCGCCTTTAACCAACTTAGTTGGTATGAAAGCCTCCCGCCAGTGCTCATACGATCCACTTTCGAGCGAGTGGCCAGGATTGTCCAACATAACCATATCAATTCCGAGAACTTTGGCAGCTAGGTAGATGTTTGGGCCGGTGCCTCCTTGGTCAGGGTGGGGGCGACTGCCGTCGACGATGGCCGACCGCAGGCGACGTAGAGGTTCATCTGCGATCCAAAGGAATGAGAGCCTGTTTTCGAGTTCCGCATCCGCCAGACTCGAAAAGGCACCAAGACCAGTCCGCATATCTCCCGTAAGGTGTCTGTCCCGCAAAAGGAGTTCGGCAGTGGAGGACTTCAAAATCTCGTCCAGACCATGGAGTTGATCTCGCGAGACAGGTTCTCCTGAGTAGACTTGCAACGGCTCCGCAAATGATGACGCCAATGCAACCACCTCGCAGTCGATGAATTGCAGAGGTACTATGTCAGACCGAATAATCTGACCTTTCGCCAGGGGCACGATAAATTTTGATAAGCAGCAGTAGGCATTAGAGGGAATTTATTATTAAATACGCCGTAGGCTCGAAGCCCCCGGTACCTCTACAAGTGCTCCCGTATGTCAAACCGTGCCCTAATGGCTGGACTAAATATGCTACGTAGGTTCGCTCTATTAGCGACTGCGTTACGTCCACCACAATACTATGTTAGTTCTCACCCTACTAACAAAGTCCCCCTGATTGGAGGGAAATGTAGCTGCGCGAAGTGATTCCAGCAGAAACTTAAATGCCGTGGACCCTCCTTCGAATGCCGTAGACGTCATCCTCATCAGACTTCCCTTTTCTCCGGTGAGCACAGCTTGAGCATCCTGGAGACTGCCTTCAAAGATAGGAGGTGCGATGGATCCCTGTTTCGCCTCAAATACAACATCGATGGTCTGAAACGGCGTTCCCTTGAACTTATGGGGAGGGCGGCAGCTGTCAAGGATCCTCCATGAACAATCGAAAATGACTAGCAGGGGTGTGTGGGCTTGTATATCCCTACTCAATAGGAGGGGTTCAGGTCCTCACTATCATTGTTCGATACAATGGCAATACCGTGGGCAGCCATCTTCTTCGCCAAAGAATACCTAGGTGAAGGGCAAAAAAGGGGGTAGGCAGCGAGTTTTGCGGTTATGTAGTTATTGGAAAGCCGAAGGATTCCGAAGGTCAATACTAATAACGCCTAATTAATGATCCAGATAGAATGAGTGCTCCGAGAGGACGATATCGCCGAGACAGGTCGGAAGGAATTGGCAAAGAATCTGTCTATAAGAGGAAACTGATTTTCCTCTTTTATCTTGGAAAAAGGCAGGCTTCAGTCAATTGAGCCTTATGTGTGGTTGCTCTGTTACAGCTGACCTTGCAGGAAGGGGTTGTAAGTTGACCTTCTCATGAGCACCACTGCCTGCGTTATGACGTTGCTCATGGTCCTAGTACGAACTCCGTGGCCACCTTTCGTCCTTCCAGACATCGATCTCAACAGTCACTTCGCAGGGTTCTTCTCGAGGAAGCCACCCTTAGCAGAGTATCCCGAACTTTACGATCAATTTATGCATTACGCAACGGACTCTCTACGTGCCACAGCCAGCTTGCCGGTTCTTCTTGAAGAATATCGTCATAAATTTTGGTACGGTAAACTCGATTGGGACAAGAACGGTACTAATGCGAATTGATAGGGAAGTATTCTCGGCCGTCCCAATATCCTTCCACAGTCATGTTAGCGATATCTGGCCTCAAGTCTTGGTCACTACTATCCTTCAGCTTCGCCAATATTTCAGCAAACAAAAATCAGCCCCAAACCTAACCCAAATGCAAAAGACAGAGTACAAGCTTGCAGTATTAGAAGGTACTTATAGTGCAACATTCGGGTCACAGGTACATTTCATTAATATATAACGTGATCCACAAGTCATTTTCGCACACAAGTCACTTTCGCACTTTTCTTGGCACCTTCAAGTAATTCAGTAATATCCTATGCATAACCCGCATTTTATCCTTTAAATTACTCAAAATCTTCTTCATTATCAGTTTCTACTTCTATTGAACAAGTCCTTGCATTATGTCCAGTCCCTCCGCAAATACCACAGCGCCTTATACCGGTCTGCCGGCGCTTTACAGGACGACTGCTTTCCCCTTCTTCCTCCTCCATAACCTTGATATCACCCCTCAAGGCCCGTAAAACTTGTGCATCACCTATACTAAGTGCTCCTCCATATTGGATTTGCTTATTTTTCGTCCTACGACGCTTACTTAGTATATGGTTCGTCTCACGAAGCTCTTCGTTCTCCCGACGTAATAATGCATTCTCATGCATCATTGCATGCGTAGCCTTTGTAATCGAGTTAATTGAGTTCAAAATATGCGTCGGCGAGCTGTCTTGATACCTCTGGACGCTACTTTTAATCAAAGTTGACTGCGATTCGGCTTCGAGGGTGTTGGTAGGCGTCTTAGAAACCCAGACGGAGGGAGGCAATTGGGGGTCGGGTGTCGGTATTCGTACTACTTTTGCGATATCCAACGTAGATATGACCCTATCCGGGTTAAAAGGAACAAGTCCAGCTGCTTCGAATCCTGATCTGATGTTTTTTTCGTGAAAAGCACCAATGAAAGCTTCTAAAAACCCAGCTAAGAAATCCTGCTTCTCAATATGGGTTTGATGCCTTCGCATTAAACCCTCCACGAACGCACCGTACAGCCGTTTCAACACACTAAAAGGTACCAAATCCAAAGGCTGGAGCTTGTGGGATGAATGGGAAGGCATACACAATGTAATTACGCCGTGCGCCGCGAGGTAAGTCTCAAAATCCATCGAGTGGTGGCTCTCGTGACCATCCAATATTAAGAGACTTTTCGCACCCTTCCGACGGCTAATAATATGTTGAACAAAGTGTTTTGCCCATTCCACACCAATATTATTGTTAGTCCAACCGTTATGGGAAAGGTCGACCTTCCAGTTGGCCGGTAGGTCGTTACCGCGATACCACGAAGCAAGATGAACCTTGCCCGCGAAGATGATGTACGGCGGTACCGCCCAACCTTGCGAATTAATAGCCTGGATCACCGTAACCCATTCCCGACCTCCTTGTGTAGCCTGTCTAGGCCGTCCGTGTCTTTCTGCACTCGTTACAACCATACCGGTTGTGATTATGCCCATTAGGAAGCCCGTCTCGTCAAAGTTGTAGATATCCTCCGGTAGGATACCGTATTTAGCGATTGTGTCCCTAACAAGCTCAAACCACGCGTAATACGTGATATGATCTTCGCTAAATACCCTCTGGTAATCAATTCGACGGTTTAAACGCGTTCGGAGGTCTTGTCGGCGGTTAACGAAGTTCGTGGTCCAGTTCTTGCCGACGGGGGGCGCGTCGCGTACGCGTCGTAGGATATTCGCCTTTCTTCAACGTATCGAAGCCGAGGAGGAAATTCTCGCGCATCTAGCTCAATTATACGTCGGGCAATCGTATCCTCTTCGGTTTGAGTTAGATTTCGTTTTAACATATTAGCTTCGTGTCGCGTTTGGTCGCCGTCGAATCGATTCTTTAGTGTACGGTCGCAAACGTTGTAGATACGGCCAAGCTTACGCCATGAAATTTCAGGGTTGCGCTTTTTAGCTTGGATAGCTAGCTGAAGATCGGCTTCTTTGGATTTACGAGGCATGTTGTGGGAGGGAAGAAAAGTGCAAGCCAAGTTAAAAGGTTGAAATATTTGAAAAAGTGCGAAAGTGACTTGTGTGCGAAAATGACTTGTGGATCACGTTATTATCTTTCTTAACTAATACTAGAAAGGCATACCGTTCGGAAATTGAAGCATACAGGACTTCGGCTTATAGGAAGCAGCCAAAAGTAGTCGAAACAAATATCAATCCAAACAGATTACGTCAGCAAGTATGTAGTCTAGCAAAGCAAGGTTATATTAGTATCGTCGTTGAAATAGTCTCTTCTACGGGCGGTAGAGTACTAACGAGCAACACATAGAATATACTCGGTAAATCGTGCCGAGAGTCGAAGTTATACCTGATTGTAGACGAACCACTTACAGCAGTACGATATAGGGCCCCATTCGCCTTCCAGCGATCGGATTATACTTGCTATAAGCCATTATTCGTTTTCTTTGGAAAAGGGCTTAGGACTTGCGGACTCGCAGTGAATCCACGAGGCGTTACTATCGACGAGTACAATCTCGACAAGGAGAACCTTATAGAGTTCTGTAAGTTATAGTCCGATCGCCTACAATCTTCAGTTATCTCAGTTCCTTTGGCACTTGAATCTCTCGGCATCCTACGTCAGAATTTTTAGATATTCACGTATCTTGCAGTTTGACCGTGATATGACGGTTATATGAAAAGAATAATTTGGTGGTTATGGTTAGGTCACCGTTTTTTCCATGCTCGATCCCCTCTATCTGTTCTGTTGGCTGTGTGCATTGCCTTTAAGTAATCTGAAGGGTCCAGCCTTACTAGGCTACCTCTATCCCGCCTTTATCCTGAAGCACAAAGCGCTTTTATTCCAAACATAAAGCGCCTTTCAACCTTAGGAATCACTGTGGTGCTCAATCCCACATTTAATATCAAACAACAGTCTAGACAAAGCTAGAACTAACGATATGGTGCTTCTATGCTCCAATACCATGTGACCCGTCGTTTTTGACAAGATTCAGGACGAGGGATAGGTCAGACGGGGCCAGGAAGTTGGGAGGTGCCTCCGCGATATAATCCGACAATTCGACCCAGAGAGTGCCCCTAACGGACTTGATGGGCTGCTCTATCTTGCAAAAAGTACTGCAGCAAAGGCGAATATCTACAGGGCTGCAGCCGGTGCGTACATTCGCTAGATCCCACCTCTAGACGAGGGGATGGAGCAGATAAAGGCATTGTTTAGGCCGGATGCAAGGTCACTAAGAGAGGAACTAGTAAAATGGCTTCGTTCAGAGGTTTACGTAGTGTGCTCCGATTATGAAGGTGGGTTCAAGTTGAAAATTATGAGACGTGTGGGAACAGTATTTGTCGAAGCTGCAGTATCTCTGAATATAGGCAAACCTATGTAACTAAACGGAAACTATAATAGTCCTATTCTTTTGCTATAAAGTGCTAGCTAATCACATTATCCCCACATTAGTCGTAGGGAAAAGCTAATTAGCTAGCATAGAGATAACTCAAGAAACTAGATAGGAAACGACTTGAAGCTGTCTTCTGATAATCACAATCGAGTAATACTTGATAATACGCATAGCCATCGAAACTTCTCAAAACTTAGCTTCTTAACTTCCAAAAATACGTGTTCGACCTTTAGCTATACTAGTAGAAGATCCTCCGAGCAACAAGCCTTCTCCTGGTACGATTACCACGATGCCTAGACAGAGGGTAACACGGTTAGAACGAGAGCTTAAACGTAGAATAACTTGAAAGTCGAACAAGGTGGCTAATGATCGCCATCAATACCGAAATAGACGAAGCTGTCGCTATCAGACCTGTTCAACGCCCTTGATAGGGTAGCGACACATGATGGCCGAGTTCTGATCATGACCACGAACCACCCAGAATGTTTGGACAGTGCGCTCATACGACCTGGCCGTGCCGACTTGAAAATCGAGCTTCCCCTCGCCGACAAGGATGTAATCTCTCGACTTTTCTCTATAGTATTCAAGCAATTGGAGGCGGCCCATATCATTCCTTCTCTGCTGTTATATACCAATATTCACTTGCATTGTATTATTCCTAGTGCAAATCAGGTTCCAAACCTGGGCGCCGTTTCTTAGGAGGTTGAATATAGGCCTATTATTATTCCTAAGCTAAATAGGACCGCTGATTCTCGACCTCGACCTACGATAGAGCTACTAGCGGATTGTGACTCTGATTGATTCTTCAGTTTAATTCATACTAAATGGTATAGGAGCATTGGCGAGCCACGCTCACAAGACAGGTTCAAACCTGTTAATACGCTTTGAAGATACTCTCCTCTGTGCTACGATCTCAAGGACTTGGGCGTCATATAAGGAGTTAAGAGAGCAGGGTTTATCTCTATACGAAATGGCTTAAAGTTTGTATATAGCTAGATGGTATATGACATATATGCGGCTTGAACACCTAGACGAGATCTTCCAAATAGTCTGGGAGATAACATGTCCGAGATCGAAGTCTCTAAGTAACTAGCCGACGTTCGATCGACTTACGTCAAATAAGACGTAGAGAGCTGATACGTGACCCCATGGGGGTTGCCCTATAGCTAGAGATAAGATAGATAAGAGCTATAAAAGAGCTCTGCCAGGCCAGAATAGCTGACCTGGCCATCCTTTCCCAATACAACAATTCACACCCCATATGCACTCGCATCAAGAGCATAATATTACCTACTACGAAGTTAGTCGTTTTACCTTATAGGGTGGAAGTAGGTTTTACCTAAGTATAATCTCAAATTAAGTAATATCTTTCCACTTATATACTATAAATTTTGTACTTCGTATAAGACGATTGATCCTATCTATTGTATACTGATTCAACTCCTTACTAGGATCTAGCGTTGTGGCTAATCAAAGAAATTCTCCCTAAATAGGACGCTTCTTTCTCTAATAACCTCTTCCCTATGCTTTTTGCGCTTAAGGCTAGTGCTTGTTGTCTACTTCTTACTAAAGCTATAACGCTAGATCCTGGTAAGGGTGCGTGGTCTTGATACAGTAGCCTTGAAGGTCCAACAGGAATAAGCCCACTTCGAGTACAAGCCACACTGATTGGCTAATACGTCCCACATTATAATCACGTTTATCAGACAATCTACGTAGAAGCATGTCTAGCTAAGGGCAATGCACGAAGCTATGGAATAAATTATATTGGCTTTTCAGGACCAATTCCAGGCTTGGACCATTTCCGGATCACATCAGTTATGTGAAGGTCAACCCTCGCAGACCCACTACAACCAGGTGACTTACAGCTGGAACACCTGCCATGGCAGTGTCAGATGGGAAGCCAATCATAACCCTTGTAGGAGCCCCGCCAAGCGTGGATGACTTAGTCGCGCTCCCTCAAACCTAAGTTGTCATCTTCTTTCCTTCGCTCCTTAGAGTAGAATCTTCGTCGATAGCACCTAATCGAGGTCTCTACCAATGCGATGCAACCCAGGTCGTGACAAGTTAGGTGTCTTGCATTTCAGTTGAGGGTGCTTTGCCTCGGCTGAATAACTTGACTTGTTACCTCCATGATCGGTGAGCTCAACCTATTCCCGGTGCCTCCCAATATGTGGTCGGAAACATTGAAAGAGAATTGTACAGAATGACAGAAATGACTACGTCTAAGGACAGGATACGTGGGATGATCATCGAATTTCGAGCCTATTGCCGTCGACGACCCACTGGACAAGTAACAGATGGAAATGCGTGCGATCGAATGACGCGATAAGGTTTGATCTCGCAGATCGACGGCAGCGAGTGAGAAATGGCTCTTTATCGATTCAAGGGGCACCTTCTTCTTTCCAGCGGTACGTTCTAACCAGGACTTGCCACCGCTTGCCGGCGCCCGAATATTATGCCTTTTGAAGAGATGGCCCATGGCGTTTTGGATGCCAGTACCGTTGAAGTTGGCCGGATGGAAGTCCCGGTTATCAACACAGCGTTTACACACCCATCGCCGTTCATTATCCTTCTGGATATCATGCCCATGCCCACGATGAGACGGACTTACCGCGCTCGGAGAAGGCAAAGCCACGGAAACACTGAAAAAGGTGCCCTTGAGCCTCCGGGGGCATAGAAGTGGCCTCAGCCGAGGCCTGGCGAGATGGCGACAATACCGGAATCGGCGTTGTAGGGGCCATTGGATTCTCCATAGTACAAGGGCAGCGGCTGAAGCGCCAGAAGAATACCAAGATAATGGCGAAGTTTCAAAGTACTAGCCATTTTGAAGAGAATTTCAAGCAAACAAAACTTATAGGGAGCCTACAGGGCTGGCAGTGACCTCTAACTCGTTCAAATTACCCCAGAATAGGGCTGACTTGCCGCCCAGCACGGTCCAAAGAGCGATTTGAGCCTTGGCAACCATAAACCAACCAGGTTGCCTAACCAGGGCCTCCGGTGAGGTTAGCATTGGCAAGAAACTAGATAGAAAATGCGGGATCCGCTCTTGTCTGTGCTCACCTCGCGTTCTGCTTTTAGCGCTTGGAGAGTTATTGCCTGAGTGATAACTCGCGCGGGGCGCGCGAGCAGATATGCGACCTTCAGATTTCATCATTCAATATTGAGTAGACTGAAAACAGAAATGGCACCTAAGGCAGCGCAATGGATTCGTTTAACCATCTTCTCTATTTAGCATCCGTCCCCTTCCTCGTATTGTACTCCGCTGTGTCCACGACGTCCATCTGTGGGCAGAAATGGCAGTGTTCGGCCCCGCACGGACCACCCAGTGTGGCCACTGTAGATTAGCCAGAGCTTACGGCAAGTAACGATAGTCATAATAACAACAACAATGAACGGTGGGCTGCGATTGCCCACACCATCGTTCCGCAACTACGACTACGACCACGAACACGACCTCGATTCGAGCAATATGGCGCCAGATACGGACACGAAGAACATCCCGATTTCTAAAGAGCAAACTTCACTTGCAATACTGAAGAGGGCTTTGGCGAACGGGTATCAAAGAGGCAACCATGAAGAGACGGACCAAAAGACGGGCTTAAATCGACACAACTATCGCACAATAAAGCAACATAAGTAGATGATGGACTTGTACACTACGTATGTTTAATACCTACTTACTACATCGTGCTGCTAAGTTTTTGTAGGTGGTGGTGGGATCTCAAATGCAAGGAATCCGAGGAACGTTAAGAAGAAACTCCAAGTTGGGAATGCGTAAAGGCCCAGGTTTTATGCGAAGGGATTTCTGGCCCTACTCTTGTGCAGGTGAAAGGTTTTCTTCGCTTCTACTCTAAGCAAACGAAAGGTCGGCTTAAGGATACGAAAGGCCGGCCTTTACTACACGCGACGGCGGAAAGTATGAAGACAAGAGCTGAGGACTTCTATCGTGGTCTTGGAGTCTCAGGGGTCCTGGAAGACGAAGCGCAAAAAACGGAAATATACCATGTTCGTCTGATTCCTTTTCTCTAGCATCAGTCTAACTAATCGGGATAACAGTGGGTAAAGCGTGTTTTGCCCTAGGAGGGGGAAGTCGTTGACACTTGCCGACCAAAGTATAATTTTTCGGATAATGTACTGGACAGAATTCTACTGGGCCTCTGGACGAAAAAGGATCTCATCTATATCCACGAGAGGAGCAGGATCCAATTTCATTTCCTGCTTTTGATGTATTGTTGGAGTGGAGCACGCATCGGAACATTCTTCACACACGGCCTGCTATATGAGGTATAATCGCCTATAGACTCCTGTGGCATCATTCAATGGTTAATATTTAGAAGGATATTATCCTCGTCTAGAGACGTCGTCCCTAAATAGAGGGCTACGAGTTCATGTGGAGGATTAGTGAGCGATGGGTGAAGAATAATCGTCACCCTAAGAACAAAACGTAGGTCTCGATTACTTACATTAGCTTAACAATTCTTTTGCTAATATTATACAGGTTCGCCATTACAGGGAAAGATCACTCGGTTCTTGCCTATAGCGACGGTGCTTTATTACTGTCACTCGCAATTGTCGACGGTGCCCTATTCGGTAGCGACACGCTTGATGACCTTTGGCAGCAGGAAATACCCCCTGACGAGAATGAGAAAATTTATCGATGGTACGACTATTGGCAGAAGATACTAATTACTCGAGCAATTGATAAGACTAGGAAAGTGTCCCCTTCTAAGCTGATGACTCGAGGCACTTATCTGGCAATCTACAAAGCTTGTTTGCGAAATGAAGGTTACTACAAAGTTTCTGGTGGCATGCATCCGATTCGACGCTATCTTGGTAAACGGATTGATGGTCAGTGTACCCTATAGGATAGACATCGATTACTAACCCAAGTGCCAGGGAAGTACACCGAAACGGAACGATCGCAGCATATCCTGCAAAGTGACCCTCGAATCTTTGACCTTCAAAAAGTGTTAGATTTCGCCTCCTGAGTAGCCGCTGTCTTTAAGTGCAAAACAAACTTACTAAACGCTGGAAAGGAAGTTCGCGGATGAGAAGTTCAGTCGACTTTTGATAGTTTCGAATTTCTCGTAGGGCAACGGTACCTGGCTTATAGCGGCGAGGCTTTCGCTTATTGCCCTTGCTTATAGGGTCCCTCTTGCCAGCCAGCTGCTTACGAGGGGCCTTACCACCGGTAGACTTTCGTGCAGTCTGCTTAGTTCTAGCCACTAGCCATTGCGCATGATACGGTAAAATTATGCCATAAATTATTCGGCTTTCTTTATATACTTTTTTATTCGCTATAGCGTGTGCTTTTAATCACGTAAGGAGATTATTATTACGTACTTGCTTTCCTAACCACGACGGTTAATCTACTAACTTAGCTATTAGGCGGTCACGTACTAGTCACGTGCATCGGCCGAATACTGGGCCATTTCTGCCCTATCGAATTTAATAGAGTATCATAGGTTAATAGTTTGAAGCAGATACTTAACGCCCTCTTTGTCTCTTCCGCAGTCTTCCTTAGCGAGAATATCATCGTATATTTAATCAGTATTACCTATCAGAGGTCTTTTCCGAACCGAATTGAAAATTCAAAATACGATGTTACTTTACTAGAAACTATTATCGGACTTGTTTTAGGAGTAATAAGGTATGTAACTGAATGTGTCTCTGATCCCTTTAAGATCTAAAAAAAATAAATAAATACGCCGTAGGTGTTAACCCTCGGTACCTCTACAAGTACTCCCTTAAGGGGCTATAGATGATATAGCGGGCCCTTAAGCCGCGTCGGGCGGTTATACAGGTAAACTTGTAGCCAAACGACTACTAAACCTCCTGTCCCTCCCTAAGTCTGTGCTACAACCCCTGCCTGAACTACCGATAAGCGTGGTAATGTGGCACTTAAATTCGTCCTCAGGGGTGGGATGCTGCTGATGTGCAGAACATGCTCGACTATTTTTTGTCGCGACAAGTCGTAGTATCTGCTAATTGGGGTTCTCGTCGAGCGTATACATCTCAACCATACGCTCAAGTGGATAGACCGTAACGTGGTCTAGACGCTCGCAAGAATCGCGGCGAGAGGGCGTGCTGCGCGCCTTCTATCGTGAGGGGACGGGTTCACCGACGAGCGTTATCGGATAGGCGAGGTCTGATAAGGGGTCGGATTAACGATTCGAATTCTGGACCGGCTGTCGAGTTATATTCCGCCGACGTAGTGCTTGACGGTCGACTGGCTAGGATGCTCGTAATCCTAAACTGCACCAATCTCCCTATTATCGCTAGGTAGGCGAAGTCAACAAGGTGGGCAGCGCGCCGTAAGGGTTGACTAAACCCCCTTGTGTGTCAGCTGCGGGATTCGAACCCGCGACTCGTCACCGACCCAAGTGGGCGAGGCTCAAATCGGGACTTATCTACCAGCGAAGTGACCAACTACACCAGCCGACTTTAAGATCTAAAGAGTGAAGGTGACAACTGTAAGGAAAGAGCCGTTGTGGCGGGCCGGTCTCAGCTGACAAGCTGAGTCGGGAGGGATTCGCCCCCGATCCGGTGGAACCCCGGAACCGCCCAGCTTAAGAGGAGAACTCGAGACGCTCGCACCTAGTTTAGATTCTTCAAGAATCAGTCTTGCAATATACGCACCCATACACTGGCCTACTTTTAGCTACCCTTTGCACTACCTGACTATTATATTGTGAGACGTGGAGTATCCTCGTTACAACAACCGTCCCACCTTTACCAGGTGGTTGTTAAGTGAGCAGAACGAGTGTAAGGTGACCTCGAGCATGCTGGGGTACCGTTTCCCAGTGTGCAGTTGGCCCATGGGTGGGTCCGTCGATGTATAATGTTCTCCTAGAGACGGGGATTGGCATCGGTTGGGTGAAGCTGAGCAGCGTACGCAACACTCAATTTAGTAGTTATGCATGTACCATAGTATGCCGGCAAAGAGTTTGTCTTGTGTTGCTAGCCTCCGGCTACGTATAAGAACAGTCACCCGTCGCCCTGGTCATTCTACTACTCGTGCATGAGCTCTACAATGTTGTTGGAGCAGGATCGGGATCACGTCGGAACTCGTCTTGTCTGTTGCTGGTCTCTTGGAGGACAAGCCGAAGGAGGTGAAGTCTTACAGATCGTAGGTATCCTAATAGTATCCCTCTGCTACCTATTCTGCGTACACGTCTAGGTTTCATATAAGCGAGACATGTTGCTTAACGCCTAGAAAAGTTTTAAGTTTTCGCAATCTGCGAAGATCAACGTGTGACAGACCCGCAGACGAACCACTACCAACCCTTTCAATTCTGAAGGCGGGGTGCTATTCAGCCTTGAAGATCAACATGGTCCTTCAAACCCGGTGTCCACGGCGGCCACCGCCACAGTTGCTATTGGACGTCCATTACGCTGTGGTTCCCAACGAGATACTGAGTCTGAGTCGGACGTTGCCACTGTCGCCGTCGATACTCCATCTGGCTACGGTTCTCCCCCAGAATATGACGAGGGACATCATAAATCACAAGCGGTGCATAGTCTCCCGCCAAAGTACGACAGTACCTCTGCGTCGTCATTTTTGAAAGGTGTGTCCACAGTAACATTTGGCTGACTCCCACTCATATCAACATCTGCGCACTTGCATCGTTCGCTTACATGTTTCACAGGCCCCCACGGATGGAGAGTACGAAAGAGAGGAATGAAGCCCCGCTTTAACAGCCGGAGAATACTAAAGTGGGATAATCTGACTCAGTTCGAAAGCCAAATTAAAGCTCTGATCCAACAGCAAAACGACACCATTGAAACACTAAGAGAACACATCGGAACACTCGAGAAGCAGAATGATTACCTCAAGGGACGTCTTAATGGAATGGAGGAGACTCTGGGGTCCTCGGATGATTATGCCACTGAACTGGGGCGAGGCGGTGGTGAGGCTACTTCTCGACCGGAAGGGAGACCAGATCACTATTACCGATGAAGCTGTGTGCGCTATTGCAGAAAGCTTTAATCAAGAGGTGATGAGACTACTTCTCGGCCGGAAGAGAGACCATATCACTATTACGGACGGTGTAGTCAAGGTCGCGGCTGGTAACGAATAAAAAACAAATAAAAATAAATAAAATCACAAACCCATTCCTCCAACAAAAGCAGCACCAGGGATGGTGGGTGGGGTGATCAAAAAGAGCGAGTCGGCACTCATTAGCAAATTGTTGTTCTTAGGAACGTTTTGATAGCGTCCTTTCTGTCCTCAAACAATCTGTCAGACCTTATAACTACCAAAAATACCTCATTCTAGTACTAGTGGGTCCCTCGTCTTTTGACGGTCAATTTGGTCCAACACAATCCACTACATACAAGCTTTGTACTCTTGGCGGCAACTGCGCAGCGTTTGTGTGCTATGAGATGCCCCAGCGTTCATCATCGCTATCTTCAAATCCCTGGCTACCAGTAATTACCCCGCGCATCGGAGGGGTGTTTTGGGATGCCTCAGAGACGAGAAGACTAGAGCCTGTGCAGCACGCGCTATATTTCTGGGACGAGTTGGCAAAGGCCACAAGTTTCGTGTCTGGCTACTCCATGGCCAGAGGTTCCTTAAGACACCAAGCATCTCGGTATACGAATATCTCGGGCTCCCAGATGACACCACAAATACTCCAGACCTAAGGGAAGTTATCAGATCGCTACCACCATTTGTACAGCGATGCCTTCGCAAGAGGACGCGTGAGATGAAGTCGAATATCAAGGAAGATGACTTCAACGTCGTGGACGAGGACACGTCAGACGATCAGGGCAAGATGCGGCGCAAGCCCGGCCCTAGAAAAAGAGACCCGATTGTTAACGCTGATCCTGAGTCGGACCCCAAAACAGTACTAATCACACAACCAAAACGCGGGAGAGGTCGTCCCCGCAAGGAATCCCCACGGGACTCAACTGAAAACAGAGGCAAGGAGACCAAACTGTTTAACCCGCTAGCACGCCAGCGTGGCAGACCAAGGAAGGTCATGATCGAGGAAGCCCCCGCTGATGGTCATCGGCCAATCAACAAGCCAAAGCAGCCAAGAGGGCGCTCAAACAATCGACGGCAGTCTCATGACGAGACGCCACCACCAAGACGATAATTGCGGCCACGAAGGCCGCGCAACAATGATGAGATCGATCAACACATGCTCAGCACCGCTGGATCACGCGGATTTGCTGGAGGTATTATAAGGAGAAACAGCACCAGACACAAGAGATCGTGAGTGAAGTTCAGTCACTCTTCACAAACATTTGGGCATATGGATCTGAAGAACGAGACAGTGGCATCAACAAAATGAATACCGAACTCGCTGCCCATTACTTACTCGAAGAAGAATAGGACAAGGTCAATCTTATGCTAACCATCGACTGTATTGCCCACTAAACGGCAGTCGAAGTTATAGAGATAGCCGAAGCAAGTGACCCAACATTCAAGGAGACTATGGCTGGCCTGAAACGAGACAAATGGACACAATCCATCTTAAAGGAAATCAGAACAGTGCTATAAAGTGGCACCCTGGCATCCAGAGACCCTGATGAAGCCATTCATGGACATCTTGTTGATACCAAATGGGTTGTGAAGAAGTACCTGTCCACTGGAGAGTTTGAGAAGTTGAAGGTTCGCATTGTTGCCCGGGGGTTTTCGCAACGCAAAGGGCTCGACTTCAACGAGACTACTTCTTCTACAGCTAGGTCATCATCGTGGAGGATTCTTATGGCACTGTTAGCCATAAATGAGTGGCACGTTAAATAGCTCGACATCATCGGCGCTTATTTGCACGGTAAACTGAAAGAACGGATCTTTATGAAGTAGTTGCTAATGCTTCATCAGTACTTCGATACTTATCCGACTGAAGCGACCAAATATGGATACAGCAAGGAGAATATTATCGAGCTTATACGCCCACTGTATGGCTTGAAGCAGTCCGGGCACACTTGGCAAGTCAAGGCTCGCCAGGTGCTGGCGAAAAGGGGCTTCTTTCCTCTAAAATCAGATGACGCCATTTACATGAACCCCGATACTAGAGATATTTTGGCCACTTATTTCGACGACTGGTTGCTCATCGGTCCTGATGCCGATAAAATTGAGACATTGGCGGAAGACCTTATTAGTCATATGTCAGTCACATATCTTGGAGATGCTAACTGGTATTTGGGCGTCAGAATCAGACGCTCTAACTGGCAGCATTCGACTTAACCAAGAGCAATATGTCACGAAAGCTCTTAATCGACTTGTTCTTAGTAGGTGCAAACTAGCCAGTACACCTATACCTATCGACCCTGGTGCTCTCGCAATGCTAACGAAGAATTATGGACAGGAAGCAACTCCCGTGGAACGCTACTTATTAGAACAAGCAGTTAGCACCTTTCTTTTCTCGTCGAGAATCACGAGAATTGATACTTCATTTTCTGTGAGCGCTTGGGCGAGATATATTTATAACCCCTCCCTAACACAGATGACGTGCTTGAACCGAGTGGGCAAGTACTACTAACACAGTTCGCGCAGGACGCTGCTATATCAACGGCTGGGGACTGATAACCCTTATACTAAGTATATAAGTTTAGTTTATTTGGTTCTTACGATGTAAGTTTCAAAAGCGAGAGGAAACAGGCCAGTTATATTTTCTTTATGGCCGGCGCGCCTATTTTTCGGAGGTCTGCTATTCGATATTGTATTTCTCAGTCAGTTTCTGAAGCAGAGTATGTCGCTATGAACGAAGTAGCTAAGGAGGCAGCTTCTATACGAAAACCTTTTGTCAGAACTCGGGCGCTATAACCATCCTTCAAGACAACAACACGGCCGAGCTTTGGTCAAGACAACATAAATCAAATGTTGAGGGACACACAATAGAAATGAAGCGTATTCTGGTGAGGAAAGAAAGCTAGGCTAGTGTTGTTGGTCTGGAACTAAGTAGTGGTGGTGGCTGCGCAGGTACCACCTCTGACAATATCTCTAGCTGAAACGAGTCAGGTGCGGTTTCAAACCCAGGTAGAAGATCACATAACTCTTATAATCACTATACCGGAAGGTCGGAAAGGTCTTCCACAAAATAATGAGCATGGAAGTTGTTTCAAACGTTACTGATTCAAAATTTCGTACTAGAATTGAAAGACATCTATAAATTGCAAATGGCTGCGGGCGAAATCAATCTCTTTTTCCCCCTTTCGTTTTCTCCTTCCTTATTTTGAGGAGTGTAATAGCGAAAGTAGCAGCGCTACTGGTTCTTGAGTTGTGGCAACTACTCGAGTTTACCCAGAGGTTTTCCATGAGTGATGTTGTTCTGGGGATGGTATGATGTGAGGTCCACTGATGCGAGTGCATATGGGGTGTGAATTGTTGTATTGGAAAAGGATGGCCAGGTCAGCTATTCTGGCCTGGCAGAGCTCTTTTATAGCTCTTATCTATCTTATCTCTAGCTATAGGGCAACCCCCCATGGGGTCACGTATCATCCACAGTCCACGAAAGAGAAAAGAAAAGTGGGGTGAGAGGAGGGGAGAAGTGGCCCAAGCAAGGGTCTATTCAACTTCTTATGCTTTGATGCATCCGAGCATGTAAATGAGCATATCCATGCAGTCACCAAGTGTGCAACTGTAGAGCATATAGAGCAAAGAAGTAACTAGTGCTGCTAGCTGTGAGTGGATTCGTGAGCCGCTCAGTCCAACTGACTGGTGAAGCAAAGTGCTACTGAAATACCAAGGCACAGTAGTTCTAGTTGTCAAATAAGAGTCCAGACGTCGAGAAGCCCAACACACGCCCTATCTGCAGTTGCTCCGCATCCTGGGGGCTTCGATCGCAAGACTGCCCAACGATGACTATTTGAGGATTATAGATGACAGAGAATATGTGCATATGTCATAGGGTGTATTGCGATGAAGAGATCCCGGCTGAGACGAAACGAGTCAACAACTACTTCCAAACAAGAAAGAGGACGTAGAACACATTCAGAGTAGAACGACCTGGACTCAAGCCGCTCGGCAATGAACAAATAATAGAAAGCCTTGTTCTCGGAAGACTTGTCGAGGCACATGAGGTTATCTAGAGCTGTGGGGATCAGCGGGCACGCGGAGATAAATACCTAAGGAAGATATAAATATCTACTGTATTATGGGTTTTGTTAAATCTCTTATACCCTTGCGGGCAAAGTAATCTTGATCACCGTTCTCGATATCATGTCGGACGTTCAAGGCTACTCCGTCAAGACTGCTAAGTCAAAGGAGAAACGTAAAGCCGCAAACCGTACGAAGTATGGGTCAATATGACCTCTACCCATTGAACCACACAGGTCCTGGCTGTGGGGCAGGAATCAGTCATTTCTACCTATATAAGGCCCCTATGGCCGCCCTTCACTTCTCTCAGGACTCTCCAGAGATCATGACACTTTCAATACAAGACCATTTGCCCACAATCCAATATATCAGTCTGCTGCAATTCGCTCCATCATAATCTTCCGGTCTGCTACCGCTACATTTATTCATTTGCCTAATATCGAAAATCAGTAATGCTTCCTGGACAATTAATTTCACGCGCTTGCCGACAATACTGCGGCCATAATACTGTTGTGCTTCATGCACAGTAACTTCACTACAGTCTTCGCAAAAACGCGCCTTAGCCGCTTCAAGTCAGATATCGTGGTCCTGGCAAGTAGATATCACCTACCAGGTGGGTCTGACTGAGGTACATGGATGTCAGCGCCGGATATGGATCGTCCGTGCGCAAAGACAAGAGAAGAGAGACAACAAGAAGAAGCCGATTTTGATTCTGTCTGTATCTTGACATTGATCAGGTAAAAGTTTTTTATTCGAACTTACGGGGACAAATTTCAATTCAAGCATGGCGAATCATACCCGTGCTCCTCCCGCTCCTCTTCCTATGCTTCCTGTCACAGTTTTCTATAGCGCTTTTCAAGAGTTTGCTCGCTCCTTTCACCAATTGCAGATATCTGCAAACAGTCTACAGCACGAAAAACAAAACCTTCAGACCGAGAGAGACGACCTCCTTGAAAAACTCGAAGAACTACGCGAGACTAAAGTACGTCAAGGACATATGATCGAGCGTCTAAACGCCATGCTCAGCGTGTCAGATACGCCGACGAACCAGAGCTTTGGAGCCCATTTCCAGCAACCGGCACTCTCTGATAGCGACACCGACTATGTCCCTGGCTCAACAAGTCTTCCTGCAACCCACGTCCACACAGGCCTAGAAGCTTTGAAAGAGATATACGACCGCTACCGATTGGTCGTTAATGCAACCGAACAGTGATGTGAAGCGATGGTAGCTGGAAAGTATTGCCGTCCGGCCCGTCATTGGGTATCCCGCAGCTGGGTCCATTGCTAACCCCGCTCGACCATAATTACCACTCTGAGTCTGCTATGAAATTTTATTTACGTTTCAACACGCCTGGTATTGGAGCGATCGAGTTACGCTACTTGTCCAGTGGTGGTGATATATTCCAATCGATGCGCTGTGTGCCCGTAGCTCTGTAGAACATGCTGTCTACGATCACTGCACAGCGCAGCTTTGGAGTGCAATGGATTCGGGCAAAGTACCTGATCGCTCGCTTTCATCTTTCTGGCACTCGAGACCAGAACGTTCAAAGCTATCTGGATTGGAAAGTAGAGCTATACCGGGACGGTGGAAGCCCGCAGTCCGGGAATACGTGGATCCTAACTCCAGCATCCGGGTACGGAGTTCAGAAAGAAACTTTGAAAGGAACCTTTCCACTATTACTTTATAGCAGTTTGGGGTATCAATTATGGCAGCTGGATATATCAAATAGTTTCTATAAATGGGATGAAATCAATTGTAGTTTCGTTCGTGATTTACGAGTGAATCGACAGAATCAGCTCAAAAGCATTCTGTTTTTATGTGCACCCATCGTGTGCTTTTTCTACTTTTCGGTCTCAAAGAAATTTGACATGGGAAATTCAATGCTGACCCACCGTACCTCTTCTACTTGTTGTAATCGGTCGAGTCTTTGCATCTCCAACAAGTGTTGAAGCAAACATAAGAGGCTGCAAATATGTAGCTTCACGCTCTGTATTTGTCAATCGTGGAACGGTTTGACGTGAAGCGGATCTGGCGGCGCTGGAGCTTCGGGTGATCGAAGAATAAGTACTGTAGAACGTCTCTTACAGAGGACTGGACCACTTTTTACGGTTTTTATAGCTGCCAGTCCGGCAGCTCCTGTAGCAGCAGAACAATGTCCGACTTAGGTCACATGCTTGTTTCAACAATCTTTAGCGCCAATTTTCGTACTTATGACACGCGAAGACTGTGATTTGAAGGAGATGAGAAACATTACCAAAATATATTGAGGCAGAAATGTTGGAATTAATGCGTGCTCCAAGTACAATGTACCAAGAACAAAAGGGAAGGAGAGGCTTTAAGAAGCTACTGTACACATCTATAATACATAATTGAAACATAACAAGAGCCTAATGTGACGACTGAATTGACACTATATATAGTGGGGGTATGCAAGTTTCCTAAGCCCGTCGGATCCGTACGCGCAACCGCTTTTGTCGCTAGATGCATTCGACCATCCATAATCACCTAAACTATCCGTGAAGGATTCGACCTGCCATGTATATGTAACATAAGCTGTTTGTTCCTTATCAACTGCGAAAAACCGCAAGAGTGAAGCAACAAAAGTGAAATCACCTTCTGGAAATAAGGGATCATATCGTCCCAACCCCAGCCATCATTGCCGAGATCTCTCCACATGTCGTAATCAGCACGGGTTCCCTGTGTTCATATCATACCGTTGAGAACTGTTCTACCACCCACCACATGGCCTTGGCTGAGGCACCTTGGCTGATTATCAAGATACTTTTGCGCGACCGTGCTGATGTTCCAGTCATATCTTGACTCTATGGATTTACAGCACGCAGTGGACAACTATGTAAGCCAAGAAATGTCCTATTTACCCGGTTCATCTGTTGTCTTCAGCCACAACGCCTAAAGAAATTATACTTAGTTAATAACGAAAACATTCACGAAGAATTCTACAACATTACATGAGATCGCCAATGCGACAACTAAGATTTTGAAAAAATACAACTACGTGACGCTCATATAAATGCAAATTTGGCTTCAGGGATGGATATCTGACAAACTCTATGAAGGAAAGGGGAGGAGCAGTGGAGCAGAAGCCCACACACCGCGGATATGTGGAACCCTAAGTCCGGCTTCCCGGTTCTGGGGTAGGATAGGTTCGAGCCACGGACATCGTGGAACTGCTGATGAATACAAGTGCGTAATTGGCTTCATTTATTATGTTCACTTTACCCTTCGTAGCAATAGCTTCTTTTTCTGTGTTGGGAGTAGAGATGTCATTCTATTGTATCCTTCAATCATATAATCTTTGATCAAACTTTGCTACACTGATTTCTTCGATAAGAAATTTGAAATCAACATATCGACACCTTCGCAAGGTGCTGTGCAAAACCGCACCGGTTGTATCGAGCAAGTTTGTTCTGAGGTGGCCGGACACGGCTCATGTGCACCATCACATAGCGAAAGGCTTCCCGTTATGGCCGATCAGAAACAGGACGACTTGGACTTGACACAGATTGTACACTAATTGCCGTACCTATCTGCTGAAGCAAACTGCACCAGCGCAGTGAAATACAGTCACAGCTAGATAACCCTCTCTTACTATTTACTTCTCTTCGCATCCAAAGCTCCCAATGTATTACCGTCCTAGGTCAAGAGCATACCGAAGAACAGGCGCGAAATAATTGATTTCGTACCTGTTTGAGCTACTGAAGTTGTTTCCGCGTCTCTGTGACTTTCAGCGTTGGCTGCCCAGCGTTCCACGCCAAGCTCCATATACGGAGCGGTCCTTCCGACACTTTTACAATCATGAACTTTAGAGACAGTGTCTGAGCTAGGAACGTAAATTTGGACATATTATGAATAATTGAACTATATTGCAAAACCCTGAATCATCAGGCTTGTCCTGAAGCGTCCCGAGTTGCTAATATTCCTGCTAGTCAATGAAGTTGATGAATGGGTCGGTCCTAGCACTCGTGATTTTAGTTGAAGAGCAACTTGATACATCCGCTCCGCCTCTCCGTACTTCCCCTATCTGCTGAGCACAAGACCCAGGTTGTTCATGCTGTCGAATGTCGACGGATGTTCTGCACCTAGCATCGACTTCCTCAGCTACAGTTCCTCTCGATGCATCTCCACTGCCGCGGCATACACCGACTGATTATGACTCTCCGCCACAACGCAAAGCAAATCGGCCTCCGCCTCCCCGTCTGTACACTTCTGATGGTCGACCAGGACTGTCTGAGCGTGTGGCATATATGTTATACAGGGCTGTCGGTTCCCATGCCTCGTAAAAGGGTAACTTCAGCTGGTCGCTGTATCGCTTTCGTATAACGGACATCCCATTCCTGTTTGATCCACTTTCGTGACGTCAAACCGTATCAAGCGATGGACATCAAAGGCATCTCCCTGCTCTCGAACCGAGATGAACGCATGTCCTCTCAGAACCCCCACTGCCTCGTCTTCCCCCTCCTGGTCTTCACCGTGTGGCAGTAGCGAGGTTGGGATGTCTTTTTCGGCCAGGAAGCAAATTAATTTCAGATATTCCACGGCCAATGGATACGTTCGTTCTAGATGTTGGAATGAGATCAGCCACGTCGTAGCGATAGGGCTCGTACCTCTAGAGTATCGCCGTCGGTCTTCGAAACCGGCGTTCAGGAGCTTTATTTGCTTTTCATTCGACTCGAGACAATATTGTAGATAGGTTGATGTTGTTGTGCTCCTTTTTGACATATGCTTGACGCTTGCTTGATTGCAAGAAGCAAATAAGCTAGGTAGATCAGAAGGTCCTTTGTCGCTTGGCCATCGCTATATTGCCGTTCGTTAAGATGGCTGTGTAGTAGCTCCAACGCCTCAGTCTTGCTCATTTGTTCAATGGTGTATGTATCCTTCGGCGAAGCATCGTAAGAAGAATTGATTCCTCATGACTAAAAGGTAGATGCTTCCGCAAACCTTCGCTATTCAGCAGGCTGATGCGGATCTTGTGACCGTATTCCGCCGTGGAGGACAAAGAAAGTGAAACGGTGGACGAATATCGCGATGACGCAACTTTTGAACGATTTATTCCTCGCCATTCCTCCCTGTAATGGAATGAAAAGAAAAATAAAACACATCGAGCTCGGCAAGAGTAAAAAATATCAGACGAAACAAGTTAGTAGAAAAGAGGAAGACATTGTGACTTTTGAAATGCGCAGGAAGAGCTCAAGGATCTGGCATAATCTGAAGATCCAATAGGCACCTTCGTAAACCTTCAGCTCTCTGAGTAAGTTGCATCCTTTCCGTCCGTCGCTTTTCGTTCTCAGTGCCTATTCGAAGCAACTCATCATCGGACAACTCTGACACTTTGGTAGGAGAGAAGAATTCCATAAGTGGACCGAGCATGTGGCGTTCGATTGTCTGACAACAAACATTATCCACGAATGTCTTGATCGCGACCTGGACAGTGCGTTAGTCACAATAATTGGACATCATGTATCATAGGGGTATACCTTGTGATACGCCTGTAGTCCTGCCTCTGCTTCCACGCACGCTTGCTCTGTCATATTTACAATGACATGAGTTTGTAGTGACTGACGTAATCTTTCCAAATCCTGGGGTAGGTTACTGACGTGGAGCTTTCCGTTGAAGTCCTGCTCGATCGTATCGAGCAGTGCCTTCTCGATGGACTTATGGTTAGAATTATTTCTGGCCTTCTGAATATTGTCAGTGTAGTAATGATTGTATGTGATGGGCTGTCACCGTTCATCAGCGACGAGCCTACCCAATTCTTTTTGAGCTTGATGAAACACTTCATCCAAAGAGGATTGGCAAGTGATGGAGACTTGTTGACGAACATCATCCTCGGCCACGACGACCGTGAGGGCTGCATGCAACTATTCATCAACTAGATCCCGGACTGTATGGATGTGCGATTGGGCGATATCAGGCCACCTGCTGGACTGTTCGTGAAATAGGTCAGCCAATAGGACGTGATTATAATTGCCTGGAAGCTCACGGCCCCGAGTGGCAGTGTATGTCTGATCGTAGGAGTCAGCAAATCCACCGTGATTACTTGAGACAAATTGACCGTACCTCTGAGACCCAAAATCTCATCTCCTCCTTGGTCACATGTATCACTTCTGGTCTACTTTCCTGCGTCGGTAAATCGTCTGTATCTGAGCCGAGATCGAAGTGTTCTATTTTTCTTTTCATTCCATATGTGCACATCTTCTTCGCAAACTCTTCATTGGCATTGTGCACTTTTGCTCGCAAACGGTTGGAATGATTGAGAAAAAAAGTCGCTCTCAGGCCCTTGGTAGTTCCCATCCAGTGCTGCCTATGTGAGGCCGTGAAAACGTATGCTGATTCTGGTGAGGAAGGATCTGATCCGATGTAGAGTTGGTCTTTCTTCACCCAAAGTCCCCAATCGACGTTCGGTCATGACGAGAAGCTGTTTCACCTCGTCGCGAACTTTGGGCAATTCTTTTGCGATATGCCGATCAAGAAGGTCTTGTAAGAATGACCTGAGGTTGATGATGCCAATTCAGGTCATGTCCAGATGTTGAGATTGCCAGATGACATGTCAGAGAACAGAATGCCATAGGCACCCGTGGGTGTCAGGACACTGAACGCAGGACACCGGTGGGCCGCCGGAGGGGTGTTTCGGACAAAAGACTCCCGAGTCATGATTACAATCTATGTGAAGCTTTGGGATGACGAGAGTCAAGATCCTTGGCATCGCCGACCCTGCTGTTATGCCGGGTCCAAGCGGCGGCCTAGCTATCTATATAAGGACCATCTCGAAGTAGGATAGGGAAGGAGTTGTCAGAGCCACAAGTGTCATCCGAGACGGGCCGGCTTCCACCAGGTAGGAAGCCGTTTGTGGCGGCTAGAGAGCCGCTTGTGGCGAATGAGAGCCGTTGAAGCCGTTTGCAGCGGATAGGGAATCGCTTGGTTGCAGATAAGGAGCCGCTGTCCAAGATATTGGCCGAAGTCGGAGGAACACAGACATACGGAAGCAAACATCCAGAATCCAAGAGAGAACCTCGGCTGGCTATAAGTAAGGAGTCGAGACGGAGGAAGATAGAGAGGGCAGAGATCAATGCATCACCGTGGGCACCCCTACCTGAGACCGCCAGTGACCACCCGGTGCTACGTAGGAGGGACGCCCGTTACTCCCCATCACTCTGTACTATTGCCTTCGGCCTAGCCGTACCCTGACATGACATCAGGAAGAATTGAGTTTCCTTTTGACATTGCGCGTCGAAAGAAAGACCAATATCTGATGGACTTGGGTTCTTCAATAGAAAAAAGCCAAGCCTCAACTTGACATTGTCAAGGTTCTTGGCGAGTCTTGCAATCTTTGCCTCGGTGCCTTCATTGATGAGATCTGGTTTTGTAATGATCCCAACAGTGCGCTGGCCCTCAGGGTCATGCTTTCGAGCTAGCTGTAGGATTTTTTGGTTTGCCACATCGTTGCTGGCTTGGAGTACTGCGAGAATAATAGTCCGGGTGCTGGAAAGGTAGCTCTCAACCATTTGCCGGACTATCAAGACATCCTCTTCAGTTGGTTCCTCATTTGAGACAGAAATCAAACCAGGAAGATCGACAATGGTAAGATGCAAACCTGTTGGTCCGGAGATATCTATGCGCAGGGTATCGGGCGCAAAAGCACCACCGCTCATTGCATCATCTCCATATTCCCGGATCTGCATCAGTCCTGAGACTTCCTCGATAATGACCGGAAGTTCCGAAAGATCAGAAATGTTGCGATGGTATGCTCTTAAGGACTCTTGCATCTCGGTGCCACGAGAATCGTGGGGTTGAATTGTGGCGAAGATCTTTTGGACGCCGGAATCATGGCGCAGAATAATTTCGGTCGGAAAACGGGTGCATACACCATTGTGCCGAGGAAAGGGAATCCCAGTCAAACGCTCAAGGACGGAGCTCTTGCCTGCAGACTGATCGCCGCAGACAACAGGTTGAGGAAGAGACACGAGGCCGCCGACACCGTTGGCTCTGACCCTATCGATCTGATTCAAACGATAGGTGGAATTGGTGGAACGGAGCCCGTCCACCAGGACGGGCGGTGCTTCACCCGCTGTGTTCAGTGTCATACTAGGTGTCGTAGTACAACCCAACAGGAGGGTGAAGCACAGGGAGCTTATTTTTGCTGCGTAAATGAGTACTATTTATCTTCGTGAGAGATATGCTGGATGAATTAATATCCTAATATCAAAACGAATCAAATATACCCGCTCTCCAACAGGTTCGAGTGCTTCACCATTGTTTTGATTTGATTTCATCGCGTCAAACTTACTCCCACTACCTTTCTTTGCGCATCTCGGGACGTGGAAGATTACTGGTCAAGGTTTTGTTATTGTTATCGCACCACAAGAACGCAAGATATCCGGGAATATTGTTTTATTTACGGCACTATCGTCCCGTTGGCAATATTGAACCTTTTTCAATTCTCTGCACTCGGCTTTCCCGCCACATTTCTTATGAGGAACTTCCTTTTGCAAACCTTTTGTATCTTTTCTCGTCTTTATAACAAGTTTCGAATTGTTTTTGAACCTTTTTGCAGGTAAGGCTCGGTTCTCATCCATCTAGACCACTTCTCCGTGACTGCGATGGCATGCAATGGTGCGGTTGGGAACCATTCGAGGTGATGGTCCAAGCGATTTCGGCAATTTATGTTAGGCCGAAAATAATCAAGCTTAGCATGGCACAACCTCTCGATTCTCTTTGGATAAGAAACCATTCTGGAAGAGCTAGACAATTTGAATATAGGCTTTCGAGGACCTATTGCAGAGAAACCTCAACTGAGCCAGACGTTCGTTAACCGACTGAGTAGCGCAACCGACCTCGACGTACCTATCATTCCCCACCTCAGATAGTATGTATACAAAATCTAGACGTGGTTCTGTCGGGTCCAGTGGCTGCTTGGGGTTTGTTTCATCCTTCATAACAAGCTGTTGTATTTCTTCTCTCTTGGAGAACTCTAATTTGACTTCCCGATCAATGATCTCAAAAGTACTAATGTCATGAGCAGTAGGCCAGCACGCGGAGGGGTCTTTCATAAAATCTGGGTTGTGTGTATGCATTTGGTGAGTCGAAGTCGTCACTGTGGAATGTGCCGCAAATTTCATGGATTCTCAAAGTCCACAACAACCTATTTTTGGCAATGCATGGTGTAAGGACTTTGAGTAGGGAGCTGATATTGGCGCCACTGAGAAACGCCTCGGGCTTAATGAGTTCGTCGATCGTTCTTGCAAGCTGTGAACCTTTTGGCCACCAATATCCCCTTCACAGACAAGGACTTTGGGTAGAGCTCGGCTTTAGCAATTGCCGGACTTGCTTATCTGTATCCTCGGCAGGTGAAATGGAGGCGGAGTTCAAACTGGAAAATCGTTCCCTCCACTGCTCAAGCCGAGCTTTTTACTATGAAGGTCGGTTAGATCCTGTTTTGGAGCAAGTTGAACACAGACCTCAACTAGATGTACTTGGTACTGTTATTTACTAGTATTTTTAAGCTAAATTGCTTGTCAATCATTACATATAGTTACAGACAAAATCAAAATCGGCTTCTTGTTTTGTCTCTCTTCTCTTGTCTTTGCGCACGGACAATCCATATCCGGCGCTGGCATTCATGTACACCAGGCAGACCCACTTGGTACTGTCATCAATGAGTACTTCGGCCAGCCAAAGTCACTCAAGCTGACAATAGAAAATTGCTTGTCATCCCTTTGCCAGTTAACAATTCTTCCATTTCATGCTTGTACAGTGTTCTCGAAATTAACAGCACAGAAGTTGTTCGACTGGGAGCACCTACGACTTACAGAATGCTTCGCATACATTTTACATAGATATTGTCAGCAATATTTGATATCTGGTACTGCACTCGCTTAGGGGTTTGCAGGTGTCCGACAGATGCCTAAAACAGGACCGAAGGTGGGGTAAACTCTACTTGTGTATATAGCTGAGATTATTCAGATAAGCTGTATGTAGAGAATTGAACCTCGCTTCCTACCCGAACTTCTATATAGTAGTATCTCCTTACTTCGTAAGATAATGATACGAAAAGGCAGGGGAACCCACTGGTTAGGTGAATCTTATTCAATTAGATACTATAACGTTGCGCACTGCTGCATTATCATGGAGGATTGTGATGTTGATTGAGCTAAGTTAACCTCCGTCAGGTGTAACGGTAGAATGTTACCTATCTGATGCGAGTGCATATGGGGTGTGAATTGTTGTATTGGGAAAGGATGGCCAGGTCAGCTATTCTGGCCTGGCAGAGCTCTTTTATAGCTCTTATCTATCTTATCTCTAGCTATAGGGCAACCCCCCATGGGGTCACGTATCACTATCTAACTAGTGTACATTGTTACGGAGTAACTAGGGCTCCGCCAGTGGACTGTGTGCCACTAGTCCTCTGTTACATTATAGCATCCTCCCCCCTAGGTGCACGCATCAGATAACTTGCTCCTCCCTTGAACATAGCCTAATAAGAGGCTATTGTGTGCTAGTTACAGCAGTATATAGCACCCTTGTTAAATAAAACGAATAAGCGCGTAGCCGAACCCCGCAGATAGCGTCGGCACTAACCGGACCGAAAGCTGAACCGTCTTTGCCTACTAGTGAAACGGTGATGCGAGTGCATATGGGGTGTGAATTGTTGTATTGGAAAAGGATGGCCAGGTCAGCTATTCTGGCCTGGCAGAGCTCTTTTATAGCTCTTATCTTATCTTATCTGCCTTATCTGTAGCTATAGGGTAACCCCCCATGGGGTCACGTATCAAACGGGGTCAGGCGGTCGGTAGGATGTACCTATCACCTAACACACTGAACAGACGGCTCCAGTACCAATAGATCACATCTGTTGGTCTGATCAGACGAAGATCATGGTGCTGGCCGTAAGAGCGAAGCTCTTATAAGTCTTGTGCGCAAGTTGGTCGGATGTGCCTCTGAGCTCGTGTCGGGATAATTCTCAGAATAGGACGTCTGGCTCCTAGGAGTCGAATTGAAGCTTTCCCTAGTACTGGATTGCTCTGATCAGAGCAAGACATAATGTCTCATAGTTGTCAAGGCTAAAATGGAAAGGATAGATGGATTCTTAGAAGCTATCCCCTGAACGTGTAAGTGAATCATGAGCTGAAGCTTCTGAATTGCATGCATTGAAAAGAGTGCGATGATGGCTAACTATTGCTTGTCGAATGGAAAAGATAAAGAAGTCATTAAAAAGGGTCCGTCCTCGAAAAGAAAGTTGCAGTCACAAGCCTCCTTCATCAAAGCAAAAGATCCTCCCCATTCCGTCACCTATTTTCCCTGGCGTCCGGCCTTACCCCGCTACATTCCTCCCCCAGGTTCGTCTCTCTGTCCTCAGAGACAATCGAACCTGTATGACTACAAAAATTCCCCTTCTCCCAGCGATCGCAGTGTTGGACTTCGTCCCCTCTTTACTGCTGTCACTGCTCGTTTGTCCACCTGGGATTGTGATGCCCCCTTTGCAGCTCGCTCGTTGTCAGCCAACTGGGCCTCATAGGCGTCCCAGCCTTTCCATTGGTTCGGGAACCAAGGCAAAGGCCTGCCCCCAACTGTGACAGCGGTGTCGTCCTTCCACCGTACATACGTATTCCACCGCCCTGCAATCAAGCTGTCCCTGCGCTGCGTCCCCACAGGCGGCCTTGCAATGTCACTCGTATCGAGGACAGCCGGCTCTCGCCCGTTGTCAATGGGTTGGCGGGCGCGAGGTGCTGAAAGGGATTGCCCCCTCTGGGGTCTCGAAGGTTGAGTAATGGGTTTGGGGTTCGAGGGTCTTTGTGACTGATCAGAGTCCTCGTTGAATGAGATGCTGATGCCTACCCATCCAGCAATTTGCTTAGCCCACCGGCGTCGTAGATCATCTGCAGACTCCCAGTTGCCTTGGCCTAGCTGCTTAACAGCGGCCGGATCACACACGAATTTGTGCAACCAGTCTAGCACTCTGAACCCACAACTCCAGCCGTCCTTCTGATCAGACAGCTGCCATCCATAAGCATCATTTATTGCGGGCTCTGGCAGCTCAGCTTTGTCCCAAGCCTCGCAGTACTGCGCTACCAGGGCTTCACTTCTGGCTTGCCTGCCGGCAACAAGACTGTCAACTACATGGATCGTTCGGGTTTTCAAATCCACGAGTGCTCCAACCCAATGGCCTGTTGCTTTGTTAGGTGACACATTGCGGCATGACATCAACCAGATAAAAGCCGGGTTGTGTTGCTTGATGTCTCATATCATTGTACTGCTGAAACCATGCTGAGAACCGTCCTGGAGGGTCCATGACGACGAAGGCTCTCTGATCAGATGTTCCTTGGGGATCCCTTGGAGCAGGACGTCAGTGACCCCATCAATGTCCTCGTTTGAGAGCCATCGTGAAGTATGTACCTTTTGTATCGCATTCCAGCATCCTCGAAGTGTCACATCAGTCCATCGGCGGCGAGGAATTATCACAGGCCCTGGCTTGCCCTTCAAGAAGTCTGGGGTCGGAGATGAGAAAGCAACGAGACTATTCGGGCGGAATGGGATGTTAGTGGCAGGGGCATTTGGGATGGCTTTTCTGGTCTGCAGGGCTCCCTGGCCATGAAAGCTCACGATGGTGCTATGGACAGCCTGGTCCTCTTTGTTGGCCGACGGGCTCTTTGATTTTCCAGAAGGCATCTTGCTTCAAGTTGTCGTGTTGTTCGATGGAGTTGGAATAGGTCTGTTGGAAGTAGAAGCAGAAAATCTTCTCTGGTCGCTTCTGCCTGTATAGTCGCTCCTTCCATTTCCGATCGTAACGTCGATAACCGCTTTGCTGCCTAAAATGGTCTTGCCAACTGACAACAAGAAGTATTCGTAAGTGAAGTCATTCCCATCTTTTTCTTGACCAATCTTCAACTATTATTGGCATTTCCTTCCCACCATCACTTCCAACCATTCATAGACTTCAGAACCAGTCTGATCAGACCAATATCATTATCATCATGCCGAAAACACCATCCAAGCAGCGCAGAGGTTCGTTGCGTCCATGTGGGCATCCGGAATGCAGTCACTTTGTCTGTCTGCGCATGCCATCCACAAGAGGGAACGTGGGCTCCTCCCTAGTAACTCCTGGTGGTCGTTTCATTACGAGCCCCAAAAGCTCACCTCCTCCCTTCTCATCCACTTCCTCTTTGGGTCATACAGGCCGAGTAACTCGCAGCATGTCTGGTCGGCAGCAGTTGCTTCTTCCTCCTCCACCAGTGGTCACTGATAACAACGAAGAAGACACCACTGTACTCCCAGATCTTCCTTCCGGCGGGTTGACCAATGAAAGGCCATCTCAGATTCCGGTCTTCTCTTCGTCCCTGAAAGATGTGGAGCGCCTCTGGGTTCGCCAGAATGCTCTGGGCAACCAACCCCTGGGTGGGAAGCTCAAGAAGGTCCGTATTCGTCCTGATCAGAAAGATCTCTTTTGATTAACTTTGTCGCACAGGTCCTCACACTCTTAACCATCCATATTGTCACGGGTGCGGCCAAGGATCACTATGTCCGTTGGGAGATCACAGACCAAAAATTCTGGTCAGCCCTCCAGCTGCAAGACCCTGCTGCCTCTGCCTTGGCGTCCGCTCCGACGGAGAGGATCAAGGAAGTGTTCGTGGAAATCACCTGCGGAGGTCCCTTCGACACCTTCTTGGTCCGGCTGTCAAAAGATCGCAGGCGAGCCACCGGACTCTTCGTCCAGCTCTACGGCGACGAGAACGAGGTTCCTTGCCGGTCTTGTTCCAAACGTCTGATCAGTTCAGAAACTGGCGATCATCTTGGTATGTGACCCATGTTTGGCTGCCGATCGATTCCCGGGGCCTTCGGCCATGCCTGTGGTAACTGTCTCGCCATGGTGGAGGGCGAAAAATGCACCTTTCGCGATGACAAGTACGATCACCTTCGTGCTTCATCAAAGAGGGATCCTCCCCTTGTGAGTGACCTCTCTTCATCAAACTCTCCCGCAGCCATCAGCTTTGGCCTGAACGCACTCAGGCGCCTCTATGCCCAATACAAGGAACACAGCTCCCAGGCTGTCAGAAGCAACGAGGGGGCTCAGGGAGCCAAAGGAAGTCCCAGTGGCCAAGGCAAGGGATTCTGGGGCTGAAATGAAGCAATAGCCAACCGTTGTGCACTTGCAGTACTGAATCAATCACGCATATCAACATATCTCCTCCCCATTACCCACATAATTGCAGAAGCACAAAAACTCCGTAACTGTTAACAACTTCAAAACAAAAGCAAGAGAAAACGCAAGAAAACAATACGCCTGGTCAAACCAAAAACTCATCATTGTCAATCTTACTGTACCCATCCACCCTCTTATCCGGAAGTCTAACCTCAACGTTAGTCACTGGCTCCCTGTCGGCTTCAACAAGCCAATCCTCTTGCTTCTCAACCAAGGTTTCTCCCACGTCCTCATCTGTGAGTCCTTTATATCCATTCTTGTTTCCTTGACCTAGTCCATACGATAGCCAGTCGTCCTCTTCTCCGTCAAGAGGCATCCAAAATCCTCTATTGTCTTGTCTGAAGCGTTTGAGACGATCTGAAGCGTATGTCCCCTGCAACTTTGTGCCGTCAACTTCCATCAATTGACAAGTAGAAAGCGGTGATATCTTGTGAACAATATAGGGGCCACGCCAACGGTACTTTAACTTCACACTTCTGGATAAGTCGGTGTGCCTCGGTATATCGTATAGTAATACCAGCTCGCCCACTCGTAGCGGTGTGTGCCTCATCTTGTGTTTGTCTCTCTGATCAGACTTCAGAGCAGCGTTTTTCCTCGACTCTGCTAGTCTTCTCGTAGCAAGCTTGACGTCTTCCTCGTGCCTTTCAAGTATTCGAATCCTTCTTGAAATCAGGTCGTCCCTTGATGTGTTGGAATCCCAGTTCATAATCCTCCACGTCGGAATTGTTGTTTCAATAGGCAATACTGGATGGAATCCAAAAGCCATATAGAAAGGGGATATTCCAGTCGGGCTTCGAACAGTAGCCCTGTCTGCAAAAACGGCAGCAGCCAAGTGCTTCGACCATTTCGTCCCAGTACCTTCAGTGTGCTTCATCAACGCCTTCGCAATCGGTCGATATCCTACCTCAATGATTCCTTGAGACTGTGGGTGATAAGCTGATCCGATCCTAACTCTAGAACCAAGGCTTCTAAGCAGCTCAGTAACCAGCCCTCGATTCTCCGAGCCTCCGTCTGCTCTGATCAGATAAGGAACACCAAAACTGAGAATGATGCTTTCCCAGATCCAGTCCCGAATAGTTGCCGAGTCTACTTTTCGAATTGCTCTCGCCACGAGATAACCGCTTAATTCACAGCGAGCCTCTGCAATTGCAATGTAGCTATTATCGGTGGGCATGAATTGAACGTTCATTACCCATATAGCGAAGATCTCGTTTGGCTGGGAAAAATGATGACTCTCCACCTCCCTGTTGTTGGAAGCCTTTTGGCAAGGTGCGCAGGAAGCAAGTGCCTTCTTGATATAGGCGTACATCCCATTTCAAAAATACTGCCTTGTCGCGGCTCGGTAAGTGGCGTCACGTCCGCGATGTCCTAATTCTTGATGAAAAGATCTGATAATAACCCTTTGGTGTTCAGGATCATCAACCACTCGTCGACGTCCTTTATTGCCTCTTGCTCGCTTCCAGAGTATCCTTTCCTGAACCAAATAAGCAAAGGCTCTTTGCTTGAAGCGATTCTTTGCCTATCGTGTTCCGTATTTCAGCCTATCAGGCATTCGAAGCGTTGTGAGATATTCTGGTATCTCAAATGAGTCTTTGGTCCAATTGCCTAGGAGAGTGGATTAATTATCGGTGCTAATAGGGGCCGCTTGTGCTGTATTGTTGATTCTGACACCAATCTGATTCAGTTGGATATCAATAAAGTCGTCTACTTCTCCCTCCCATTGGTCATCCAACTGATCAGACGGACCAGAGGGCTTTCGTGATAATCCATCTGCGATAGTGTGCTTCTTTCCAGGGACGTGTTTAATCTCGAAGTCGAAATTCTTGATCCATGCAATCCACCTGATAAGGAGAGATCCTGGAAGATCCGAGGCAGCATCATTGATCTGAGCAATCAGAACTTTGGCATCGGTTTCGAGGATAAAGTGTACACCATAGACGTAATTCCGTAACCGCCGTAATGCCTTCAGAACGCCTCTACACTCTCGTTTCGTTGCATCGTAGGTCAATTCTGCCCCTTTCCAAACGCCGCTTTCGTACCTCGCGGGTCGCTCAATTCCGTTAATCAATCGGCCCAGCTGAGCGCCCCAGCCCTTGCCGCTTGAGTCAACTTTGAGAATAATCGACCCTGCGTTTTCGGAGTAGTCCAACGTTATCAGGATAGGAGCGGTAGTGAGTTTTTTCTTCAGTATCTCCATAGAAAGCTTCTGATCAGATCCCCAGCAGAAAGGCATATTTTCCGGAGAAGAATCGTGAGCGGCTGCGTAATATGGGCGTATAAGTCGATCCATATCCTGTAGTACACCGCGATCCCTAAAAAGGCGCGGACTTCTGAGACGTCATGGTATCTTTCCCTACTCAATGATCTTAATAATCTTGGCCTGATCAGGGGACCTCCCATTGGTTCCGCACACGTATCTCACGATCTTAACAGAATCTTGACACCAAATAGTTTTCTCGCCGGAGATAGTCGCCCCCGCTAGCTCACAGTTGACCAGTACCTTGTCGATATTGATTAAATGCTCGAGAACCCAGCGACGAATTCCAGGATAGGCTTCCGCGTGGTCATATTATGACTTCGGTCCTTTCACGCCGATGTCGTCTAAAAAATTCCTCGCTACGTCTGAGATAAGGTCAAAGAGTATCCTAGCTAGCTGCCGACAGAAGTGTGCCACTGAATTTGTCGCCCCTTGCGGTAATCTGGTCATTCTGTACAAGCCAATGGGCGTCATGAACGAAGTGAAATTGCGGCTCCGTTCACTAAGAAAAGATTGGTCGTAGCCCGAGAAGAAGTCCATCAGAGTATTTATCATACACATTGCGAAATCGGCGGCAAATTCGTCGGCATTCTGTGGCATGAATGCATCTCGGATCGTCACTGCGTTCAGCTTTGTAGCTGAGTTGATCAGGCGTAGTCCACCGTCCTTTTTCTTCACTAAGAACCGAGCGTTGCGGCAGGGCGCATGGGATTCTTCAAGGAGGCCTTTCTCGATCCTGATCCTTAGCATTTCAATAACCTTTTCCGTTAATGCCGCTGGGATAGGGATGCTTTTCGCTTGCCAAGCCTTATGCGGCACAGTCCGAATCACATAGTCCGGGCTGATAGAGGGCTTAATCCGGCCAATCTCCAAGAAATCCCATGAGATAGCTGCTTCCCTTCTGGTAAGAATCTCCTTCAAAAGTTCAGTCTCTTGGTCAGTCAGCATGGATTTAGTCTGATCAGAGATCGCCTTCCACCGTGTGGGTGTCAGTCGAGTTCCCCGAGGGAATGTCGACCACTTTGGTGTGAACTGCGAAAGCGGTCCCTCTTCATCTTTCGGCAACATTGTGGCTTTTGCTCGTTCCCACTCCTCTTCCTTCCAATTCAAGCTGCCAGGCGGGACAGAGCCGTCCTCAGGGTCTCCATCGACTGGGTGAACTTTTACTCCTTTTGGCTTGTACATCGTGTTAACTCCAACAGTTACCTCGTTTTCTGCTAATCCATCTGGAACTTGTCTCTTGAGACTGTTCAGTAGCTTCCGAACCATTCTTGTTGAGGGGTTTCCGATAATGGTTTCATCCGGGTCCAAGCCGAGAAGCTGCGGAATTAAGGAGTTGGGGTCTTGATCAGTTTTCTCTTGCTGAAGGACTGACATCTGGTTTGAATATGCAATTGCTTCTGTCATCCTCTGATCAGACTGATCATGTCCCATTTTAGGCCTTAGAGCGCCGATAACGCGGCCACTGTTACCGGCTGTCCGTTTTCCGAAATATCCATAACATCTTTCAGGGCGTGCTTTGATTCTTCCACAGCCCCCAGGGGAATAACAATTTTCGTCGAGCCAAAAATCATATTACCGATAATAGTATTTTGCTCAAAAGCAAAAGAAATCCTTGCTCTTATAATGAAGTTCATGCCTAGTAAGAGAGGCTGAGAGGCATGTTCATCGTCAATGACGTACAGGGGAATCATGATACACCTCCCCGCTAGCCATATAGAGCCTCAACGACTCCTCGGAATATCGTTCGTTCTTCATAGCTGCTATTAAAGCTTCGGATAGTGACTTTTGTTGTTCTCATCACAAGTTTGTGCTTGTAGACGTAGGAGAGGCAAATCACACTTGTCTCAGCTCCAGTGTCAACGATTCCAATAATCGGGGTTTCTCTGCCGGTTGGTCCAACTCGTATTGCAATTCTGAGCAAAGGTGCAATGTAGTCCGTCGCCTTTCTCAAGCCTGCTGCTTCAATGCCCGTCTGATCAGACCTGGTCGCATTCACCTGGGCTAACACATTTTGAGTGCCAACTCCGGATGTTTCTGGGACTTGCGCTTCCTCCCTAGTCAGGTAGACCACCTCATCCCAAGATTTCAGACCGGTTGCGCCTTTCGCAGCCGTAGCTCGCTTCAGGCCTTCAAGAAATTCAGGGCAGAATTTGCAGCAATCTTCCCAGGTGATCTTAAAGTTAGACTTTAAGTTCTCGCTGACTTTGTCAGTCCAAAATTCCACGGCAGTCAAGTTCAGAGTCCCTTCGCTAATACGCCCTTCAGGGACCGAAGGATCGCTAGACTTTGAGATCGGCTCAGCAGATGAGGGCTCATTCGTAGCAGTCTGATCAGACGAACTGCTTGGCGGCAAGTCAGTCTCGGGATCCTCAGAGAAGAAGGCTCTCTTTGCTCTTTTAGTGCGTCTGGGCAGTATCCTGGCTCCTTGACGCTTTTCCGCAAGTGCAATATTGGCCTCGTCAAGGTCTTCCAATTCTTCAACGATTGATCCAGTAAGGACTTCCGTGACAGGCTTGTCGACTGATCGGACCAAAGGCTCCCATGCATAGTTTCTCACCGGCTTTTCGGGAAAGAATTCCTTTCCTTCAGGGCCGAGTATCAAATTCACATTTACGCCCGCCGATGGCGCTGGGGCTGGAGTAGGTGGCCGGACTGTGGAAAGCCGGGGTCGTGCTTGATTCAGTGATGGCTAATACTGATCCTGGGGCGGAAACGTAGCGTCTGTGATAGGCCTATTAGACGTGTGATTGAAATCTCGCCTGAGATAGTATGCTGCAAGCTCCTTCAACTTTGGATCAAGGTTATTAGATATAACCCAGTCGCAAACTTCCTTCAGGATAGGCTTGCCCTCTTCTCTGGCTTTCTTGTCAATCCAATTCGGTACCGGGATTGTGGTCTTTCCTTCGTAATCGCCACCAAGATAATAAGCTCTGTACATCGGATCCCATCGAAGAAAACTGTCACATTTAAGTCCTTTATTAGGGTACACCGTGAGACAAGATGGCCAGGCGTAGCGCAAAAGAAACAGTTTCCAGTTGTAGGGCCCCAGCGATCTGGATATGAGTGATATTGTCCAGGTTCTTGAGTCCTGACAGTATTTACTTAAGCCTGGCGCTGATAATCGCTGTGCTGGTCTCTATTCTACTACGTAGGCGGTTGTTGACCCTAAGGCTGCTGTGATTGATACGTAACTCTTATGTCTTCCATCTGATGCCTCTGATCAGACGGACCTACTTGGTTCAATCGTATCTCTAAGGCTTTAAGTCTCTCCGTAAGGGCATCCATCTCCGGTTGATTAGAATGTGGGTGCCTCTGTTGAGATACCTGAGTTATTTGAGTGGCTGGTACTCGTATTTTAGTGGCCCTTTCCGTAACGACGGACGGGAGATACTCAGGGCTTTTTCTTTCTTCCTGATTAGAGGATAGAGTCTTATCTCCTCGCTTTGTATGGTTGTCCAGGCTGACTTATTCTTCGCCTATCCTCGTACTAACTTCTGGGCTTGAGGGTACTCCATCTTGAAGAGCTCTTCATACGTTATCTTGCCTTTGCTTATAATATCTTCGAGACTGTGACCGTGGATCCTCTGAAACAGGCCTCGAGTGCAGTCAAGGTCGCTTGGTACTCGTGCAGTATCCTTCGTCTCTTCGACTTGGATCTCGTGATTAAGACAGTACGTATAGATCTTTAACGGATTGGATAATAGGGGCTGCTTTTCGAGGTCTTTTAGGCGATCATAAGCACCCCGAAGTTGGCTAGGATCTCTAATTGCAAAGGTACTTTTCAAAGCCTTCGTTGCGGCGTTCCAGTCGTCAAGGTGATTGACAACGGCCTTCACCCTTTTTTGATAGGTCTCATTTCTAGTCCAGTACGGGACTTCAGTGATCTTTTGGATATTATTGAGTCGAGCTCTCTTAAAGATACGAGTGACCTGTTCAATCCAGCCAGATACGCTATCGCCGTCGAAGCGGAGATGCGGATATTGAGCTACATCGGGAATAGCATACGGCGTAATAAAAGCTTGAGCCATCTGGTTCAATTTTTCGTTGATCCTGACTAAAATGGTCTGATCAGAGCTAGGTGAATGACGAGTTTCGTAGTCGAGGACGTCGTCGCTCGTTGTAGTTGTCGCCGAGTCGCTTGTTGTCGGCGTAATTGCTTGCTTTCCAGTGGTAGGTGCTGGAGGTAAGAGCTTTTCGTCGCTCCCTTCTTGCTTATCTTGCCTTAATCTCTTGGGCATGTAAGCGTTTTCGAATGAGATCTGCGTAGTGATGTGAAAAATTGGTCCGCCTTGCGTGTTTTCTTCCGATCTTTGCTATGTGATCTCTCTCTTCTTCTTCTTAAGAGCTATTCTTCTGTGGGTCTTGCTCTACTGGTCGAATCTCTGTGCCTGAATCTCTCTGCGTTCTTCTTCTTCAGAAAAGGAGTGTTGAAGCCGTGGTGTTCGGGTCCAATCCCGTACTACTCTTGCTCCCTTTTTCTCCTTCTTCTGTCTCTCCGATCGCTGATGATTCGTCTCTTTTCTCTCTTGCTGATTCTCTCTTTCTCTGATTGATGATACTGATTGCTGTTTTTCGTGTCTCTGTGTCCTTTTATCTTCCAAATAAGAGCCGAGGAGCTCTACACTAAGTCTTAGTACTTTGATAGTGGCCAAACTTAATCTGCATAGCTCGCGGGCAATTTCAGCTGTTATTTTCCAGGCTTCATTATTTTTGATGGCCTATAGACAGCGTGGAACAGACTCTAACCATGCCCAGTTATTAAACTTGTTATAGTTTTGAAGTCCTACGCCCGTTAGTCTGACAGCTACAGCGCCACTATGGTAATTTCGATAAATTTGAGGGGCTTCTGCAATTCTTCGTCGAATTCCCATGTTCGCTGTTATAATTGTCGTCTCTTGGCTGGAAGCCTCGTGGCACCACCCTAAATTCGCTGGTCCTGGCTCCATTTCCGAAATGTCCGTGTCCATGCCCCTGAAAGCATTTTGGGGGTCTCCGTCATGCCCTTTTCGCAACTGATCCGTACGGTCCTGCTGTCCTCCATCATCTAACACACGCGAGAGACCCAGTGCCGTGAAGCATCTGAATTGTGTCGCCTCCCTCTGATCACCATTGAAACGGGGTCAGGCGGTCAGTAGGATATACCTACCACCTAACACACTGAACAGACGGCTCCAGTACCAATAGATCACATCTGTTGGTCTGATCAGACGGAGATCATGGTGCTGGCCGTAAGAGCGAAGCTCTTATAAGTCTTGTGCGCAAGTTGGTCGGATGTGCCTCTGAGACTCGTGTCGGGATAATTCTCAGAATAGGACGTCTGGCTCCTAGGAGTCGAATTAAAGCTTTCCCTAGTACTGGATTGCTCTGATCAGAGCAAGACATAATGTCTCATAGTTGTTAAGGCTAAAATGGAAAGGATAGATGGATTCTTAGAAGCTATCCCCTGAACGTGTAAGTGAATCATGAACTGAAGCTTCTGAATTGCATGCATTGAAAAGAGTGCGATGATGGCTAACTATTGCTTGTCGAATGGAAAAGATGAAGAAGTCATTAAAAAGGGTCCGTCCTCGAAAAGAAAGTTGCAGCCACAAGCCTCCTTCATCAAAGCAAAAGATCCTCCCCATTCCGTCACCTATTTTCCCTGGCGTCCGGCCTTACCCCGCTACATCATCTAGACTCTTTATGCGTGGGAAATAAGGACAAGCCAAGTTGAGAGGCATTAACGGAGGTACTAGACGCAAACCACTCTTTCGGAGCCCTGTTTCCTTCTTCTTCTTTCTTCGTTTTGACCCCGATCATTTAATGGCTAATAATCATCTTTGAGTTTCGAGTCGATTAAGGGGCGGTTTGACGTGAAGCGGACTTAATAGCGCTAGAACATCGGGTAATCGAATAATATATAAATAAATAATATTAAATACGCCGTAGGTGTTAACCCTCGGTACCTCTACAAGTACTCCCTTAAGGGGCTATAGATGATATAGCGAGCCCTTAAGCCGCGTCGGGCGGTTATACAGGTAAACTTGTAGCCAAACGACTACTAAACCTCCTGTCCCTCCCTAAGTCTGTGCTACAACCCCTGCCTGAACTACCGATAAGTGTGGTAATGTGGCACTTAAATTCGTCCTCAGGGGTGGGATGCTGCTGATGTGCAGAAGATGCTCGACTATTTTTTGTCGCGACAAGTCGTGGTATCTGCTAATTGGGGTTCTCGTCGAGCGTATACATCTCAACCATACGCTCAAGTGGATAGACCGTAACGTGGTCTAGACACTCGCAAGAATCGCGGCGAGAGGGCGTGCTGCGCGCCTTCTATCGTGAGGGGACGGGTTCGCCGACGAGCGTTGTCGGATAGGCGAAGTCCGATAAGGGGTCGGATTAACGATTCGAATTCTGGACCGGCTGTCGAGTTATATTCCGCCGACGTAGTGCTTGACGGTCGACTGGCTAGGATGCTCGTAATCCTAAACTGCACCAATCTCCCTATTATCGCTAGGTAGGCGAAGTCAACAAGGTGGGCAGCGCGCCGTAAGGGTTGACTAAACCCCCTTGTGTGTCAGCTGCGGGATTCGAACCCGCGACTCGTCACCGACCCAAGTGGGCGAGGCTCAAATCGGGACTTATCTACCAGCGAAGTGACCAACTACACCAGCCGACCGAATAATATATATTTGTATGTGCTATGATACTGTCTGTGGTTTTGAGCTGCTAATATAGCTATGCTGCACGTGTAGCGACATTGTGTTAGACTCAAGTTCTCTAAATTACGGTAGTGTAAATTTTTATTATATGTAAGTACGTTTCTTAAAAAAATCCTTGACGTAAGGGTTTCCTGACGTACGCGTAGAACATCTCACGATGTCAGTACTTGACACAGCCTTGCTTGCAACGTACGCTTGAGCAAGCTCTACACTCGAGATTCTCAAGATATTTGACACACCGTGCTTGACATATAGAGTACTGAGCCTATCGAGAATCGATTAGACAGGAGACATCCCCCTAAGAATAACACAAGGCAATCTACCTCTACTATCTTTGTGAATACTCAGGTCTCTAGGATATGTCTGTAGATGCTATCTGTGGCATCACTTCCACCTATGACGTAATGCCGGAGCGCAAACTCAGCAATTCGCAAAATTAGAACCGTGGGCCGCAAAACTGGTATATGCCACGTTGATCACCAGCGTAGACCTCAAGGCCTGCGTAAGTGTCTTGATGTGCGTTTATTGGCACGGATCAGCGAGTGCAGACTTCTTTGGAGGTCTTGGCCTTCTGAAGTTGCCTCCCAGAGGTTGTAGCTTAACGTGACCATGTTGATCTACGTGCTGAGTTGTTGACAAAATTCCCAGATCGGATACTTCTGCATTGGGTACGGGCTATAGCGATAGAGCTTTTCTTATCCCGAACTCAATATTTGGAATCAGGGAACGACCCATGTAGGCAATCTGGACGAGGAAATACCGAATTGGTCAATATTGCGAGTCCCTGCGGAGCGAACTAGCGTCAGATGCGGTCCTGGTTATACGTACGCCTGTACAAGCCTGAGCCTCGGGTGGCCTCATCCTTTTTGTTTAACATTGAAATAACGGCTGAGGATGTCGCGGTCGAAATAGAGTCGCTTATGCATCCAAATCGTATCTGCAGATGCCCTGGTGGAGCTTGATTAAGAGATAACGTCTGTGAACCTATCTCTTCAATTAATAATGTCAGGGTCATGATGGCTATGGTTGGGATTAAGCATTTCTAGCTTATTCAGCGTAATTCACAAGTCGCGAGTATTATCGGAAATTGCGAGGTAGGATAACGTGAATGTACACCGAGCTGGCCATGACACCGAGCTGGCCACTTTCATGCGCCAACGCGACCGGCCAACTTAATGTTTGATTTTCTCAACAACCAATTATGGCAAAGTCATACAACGAAGCATACTTAATGCTAGCCCTTCAAGCTCTCAAAAATGACCAAAAACTTAGTCTCCGACAAGCGGCAAAAATGTACCAAGTCCCCCGAAGCACCCTCCAAACGCGTAAAAACGGCGTACCTTTCCGACGCGATATTTTGCCCAATTCACGAACTATGACAGAATTAGAAGAGGAGGTAATTATCAAGCATATACTGGACTTAGATGCACGAGCGTTTCCGCCCCGGATTGCTGATGTGGAAGCAATGGCAAATTCTATCCGCGCGACACGTAACGCAGGGCCCATTGGAACGCGCTGGGCCTCGAGGTTCGTCGCACGTCGCAAAGAGTTGAAAACTCGTTGGAACCGTCCTTACGATTACTAAAGGGCCCAATGCGAAGATCCAAAGCTTATTGCAGATTGGTTTCGGCTTGTTGCGAATGTTATCGCGAAATACGGTATCAAAGAGTCGGACATCTACAACTTCGACGAGACTGGGTTTATGATTGGCAAGATCTCAACCAATATAGTAGTTACAAGCTCTGAACGACGTGCCAGGACGAAATCAATACAGCAAGGTAACCGTGAATGGGTTACCGTAATCCAAGCGGTCCAGTCTACCGGTTGGGCGCTGCCGCCGTTTATCGTTGTTGCGGGCCGATACCACCTCTCTTCTTGGTACGAAGACGACAACATTCCGAAAGATTAGAGAATTAGACCTAGTCCAAAAGGATGGATGACTAACGAGATCGGTATGGAATTTATTAAATACTTCGATAATTGTACGAAAGATCGAAAGTCCGAGATATATCGATTGTTAGTGTTGGACGGTCATGAGAGCCACATTTCCGGCGATTTCGAGTTATATTTCAAAGAACACAAAATTGTAACTTTGTGTATGCCTCCACACTCATCTCATATCCTCTAGCCACTTGACGTGGCCTGTTTCGGTCCATTAAAGCGGGTGTACGGCCAGATGGTAGAGAAATTGATACGCCGGTCACTAACACATATCGCGAAGGAGGACTTCTTTCCTATCTTTAAAGACGCCTACTTTGCAGTTTTCGGCGAAAAAACGTTCAAGCTGGCCTTCGAAGGGCAGGACTTGTTCCATTCAATCCAGAAAGTGTGATTTCAAAGCTGGACGTACGATTACGGACCCCGACGCCTGTTGGCTCCCCAGAAATCGCAACCCGACCGTGGGTATCAAAGACGCCACAGAACCCGATAGAGGCTCATGCACAGTCTACTTTTTTGAAAAAGCGCATATCCGAGCATCAGAATAGCTCTCCGACGAATATTTTCTCAGCTGTCGACCAGTTTGCGAAGGGAGCAAAAATGATAATGCACGAGCTCGCCCTCGTACGGGCCGAGTGCGCTGAGCTTCGAGAGGCAAATAAGATGCTAAGCAGGCGCCGGAGGACTAAAAAAATGCAATTACGGGAAGGAGAATCACTTATTTTCCAAGAAGGACAGGACCTACGGGACTCTAGGGAGTTGATGACGCAGATACAGCAAGAAGAGCGCCGAAATGGTGGTCGCGCAAAGCGTGTTGAAACGCGCCCGAGGCGTTGTGGTATTTGCAACGGGACTGGGCATAATGCGCGAACTTGTAAGATCGCATTGCCATCTTCTGGAGAAGAAGATTCAGAGTAGTTTCAATTGATTTACGGCGTTGTGGTTTTACAATCGTAAAATTTCTATGCGAGGTTATGTAAGGGTGGCCAGCTCGGTGTCATGGCCAGCTCGGTGTACAATCACGTTAGTTTCTATAAATAGGATGAAATTAATTATAGTTACATCGAGGCTATTATCAAAAAGACTATGGGCCTGCTGAAAATCTGTGGTGAACCCCTATGGGAGATCCTAGCGGATATAGCGACCGCAAGCTTTAGGCTAGGATACTACCCGGAGCGCCTCCGCTCGGCAAAGGTAGTCTTTATCCCTAAGCCGAACAAAACGACAGCCCAAAAGCATACCCCTAGCGGCTGGCGACCGATAGCGCTGCTTAGTACGATAGGGAAGGTGATAGAGGCGGTGATGTGCCAGCGTATCACTACCGTCGCGGAGACGGCCGGTCTGCTACTAAACGGCCAAATGGGTAACTGAAAAGGGCGGTCCACCGAATTAGCGATACGTATAGTTGAGGACGTAACCCATACAGCGTGGAGGCGCGGAGGGATCGCCTCACTATTACAACTTGATATCAAGGGGGAGTTCAACACAGTCAACTACAGGCGTTTGATTTCCATACTATCCCGGAAGGGCTACCCGGAGTGGGTTCGGGAATGGGTACACAGCTTCGTAGAGGATAGGACAGTACGCCTCCGGTTCGACGGTAAGGAGTCAGAGCCAATCCCTCTACGAGCTGGCGTCCCCCAGGGGTCGCCACTCTCCCCGATACTATTTATCCTATATATCTCGACGCTATATGAGTGATGCGAGTGCATATGGGGTGTGAATTGTTGTATTGAAAAGGATGGCCAGGTCAGCTATTCTGGCCTGGCAGAGCTCTTTTATAGCTCTTATCTATCTTATCTCTAGCTATAGGGCAACCCCCCATGGGGTCACGTACCAATGAGGAACTAGCGGAGAAACACCCCCTACTCTTAGTCGTGGGGTTCGCGGACGATACGAACCTACTTAGCGTTAGCACAGACACGGGCACGACCTGCCGCCGACTAGAAGACGCTTGGGCTATGTGACGGGCTCACTGCGAAACTATACAGCTCAACATGGCCAAATACTGTTAATTATCTAACTGAGGAGGAAAGTAAAATAAGCGAGTTTTCCGAGAACACAAACTATGTTTTTATATGTCCTCGATGGTTTCTTTATTACCCTTGACCCTTACATTTTGTTGGATCCGGACGCAAGGTTCTTGCAGCTCCGGATCCTATTTCAGGCACAGCCTGTCACAAGCGGTAATGGTACACACCGTATTTGCGCTGAAGAGGTACAGGACTACTATGTCATACCAAGCTATCCACATACGAAAAAAGAAGGTATTGCAACCTTTGTTCATTGTGGAGAGCCTCTCTTACCCGATAACCCTACGGATAATAATATCCGCGTTGCATTTACAAAAATCAAAGACCAGGTACGTATATCTATATTTATTCTATAAATCGTACACATACTAAGTATCTTAGATTGAATTTGATTATGCGGGAAGGGGTAGTACAACGAAGTTTACATCAACTTCGCTGAAGTTTATCGAGTTTGTATATGTCTCGCGTATGCATGTCTTATACTTACAACATATAGTGCAAATATGAAAGAGAACAAAGCATGACATATGGCATACAAGTGTAGTGGGGTTCGCCTTTGTGGTTGTCACGACGAGAGGTTAACAAATATACAAGAGTCATATAACCGTGTTGATGTAGCGCATATACACGATCTACAGAAGGAGCCTCCTTCTTTAAGCTCTTCTTCGGTCCATCAGTTACTAAAAGTTGAGACTGAGAAGTATTTCCCCTTTTTTATATATAAGATCTTTTACTAATTCTTTATTAGTCGGTACAATTCCTTTCTAAAAGACTGGAATAATCTCGGATATGCACCGTGGAAGCCGCTTCGTAGCATTATGGGTGCTTGTAGCGGCCAGCAAATGAAGGTTTTTGAGAGACATGGGGTGTGTGGTTCTTGTATATGCACCGGATGTGCCGTGCATATACATAATAACGCTAATAACTGTAGAACATATTTGTCGGCTGTAGCAGAAGTTGTTATATGGAACCTTGGCATGCAGCTTGGTCGATTCCTAGGCATACGTCTCGGATTGATATCGATTATCTTCGTCACCTCTGTATTACTGGTATCCAGGGTCCAAAGGATAAATGCACCTGGGTTGGTCGTATTAACCAAGATAGGAGATTCTGTGGTATGTATGTCCATTGTTCATGCATTGCATATGCTAAAACTATAGGTCATGATCATCGCAGAGGCCAAGTGCCAGTCTGGCGCCAGCATTGTTAGGTCGAAATCGATATCTATATTCCGAAGAATATGCACCGCTTCAGCTACTTTATTATCGTCTTCAGGGGCGATCATAACCATCATCCTCCACTCCCAGACCGTATATCGGCTGATGTTGCACGGCATGTGCGAAACCAGATTCGCAGCTTCGGACCAGACGTGATAACTCTTACCACAAGTACGTCGAGATACCATGCATATGCACAGCTTCTACTAATCAGAAAATAGGGATGTTTCTCCTGTCTGGAGTTTTATCATCAATACGAGATGTGTTTGGCGTTGATACGCTACGCCAAATCGAAGATGGCTTGAATATTGAAGATCGTGTCGAGGCTCTTATTCGAAAAGAGCGGCTAATGATCTTCCCAGCCGGATCACATTTTGCAGGTATGTACATATCCTATGCATATGCATCGTATATACTAATCTAGCGTAGGAGCATGTCGACAGTTTGAGCTAGAAAAGAATAAGCCCCGAAGCCAACGTTGGATTCGACATATCCACCGCTTCGACGATTATAAGCACTTCCTTATTATTTGTTGTACCCAGAAGCAAGCTGAACTTTGGAAATATGAAAAGTTTCTACAAGTTGATCTATCATATAAGATGATTAAGGGCGATACGAATTTATTCTCATTTGCTGGGGAGAATAAAGATATAGGACGTAAGTATTAATCAGGATTTGCTATGCATATGCACATGATATACTAATTATCTCTAGGTATTATTACGTATATCTACTGCTTCACAAATTGGGATTCTAGAGAGGCATATGCAGTAATCTTTCAAGAGATCTTCAGGATAGTAGCTGATATTACTGGAGAACCTATAAAAGGGCATCATCTAAATGGTGGTATAGGTATCCAGGCCGTCACTTTGGATATGTGTCCGAAACAAGCACCAGGTACGTTTATAGTTAGTATATATACGGTATTTACTTACTTAAACCTAGGTCTCGGGGACTATTTACGTACTATAGATCCCTCGCGTACATGGGAAGAACATCTACGGCATATACTTATCTTCTGCTATGTACATGTACAACGTAACTTCTGGTCACGATACCCGAATCACCCGTGGTATAATCACCTTTATAAGCTCTGGGAGACGAAAACACGTACTGGATATGTCGAGCTCGTGGAGCGCATAAGCAGACAGTACCCAGAGCTAAGAAAGTGGTTTAAGGGTAAACAGGTTGACTGGGTTGTTGCTGGACTCGTCCCTTCCGAGGGACTTGTTAACCGTATTAGCAGGACATATGCTTTTAAGCATTCAAACCTTGCTGAGTTTACTCATTTCGAGGAGAATAACGCTGTAGGGCGAAGACTAACATTTGTTGCTGCACTTATTATGTAAGGATATACTATCTATATACTACATATTTGCGTAATATATACTAATATAGCCTAGTCTCCACCGATTTATTCAGGATAAGTCTCATAAACACTTTATTCAGAAAGAGCATGCGATAGCCCAAAGCTGGCGTAATACCTCTCAAGAGGGAAAGATGAGCAGGCAAAATCAGCGTCAACGAGCGAAGCATCTAAAGCATGCAGAGCGTCGGCGACAGGACCCCTCGAGGCACTGGAATCCCCAGAATCCCTTCGATAGTCAGCTTGTTCATGCAGCGCATATGCGCAGCTCCAGTCAAGTTAATGACACTTCATCTGTTATCAGCGAGAGTTCTAGCTTTCGGAGTCGTTTACTTGAAACGCCGGGGGTAGACACATCTGCCCTTGGTTCAAGCCCAGCATATGCGGTGTTAACACGAAAAAGAGGCCAGTCAAATCTGAGTCAGACAGAAGAGGATATTGCGCGTACGCAACGTATACAGGAGAAGGCGGGTGAGATCGCAAGGCTTGAACAGCGAAGAAGCAACGTCTTGTGACATGATTGATATAAAGCAGCGGTCTCGTAGGCGGTGGGATAGTTTCTCGGTGGAATAGGCAAATGCTACCCCGGCTCCTAGCCAGGATAGAAAGGCAACCCCTGCCACCATCAAGAATAGACCAGCGTACAGATCAATGTCGTTTCTGAGTTGATGGTACCTCAACGAATGGAGTGACAGAGTCTCTAGCACTTTTGCAAATATTACCGATTGCCTGTTGAGATTGTCAGTTAGCAGCTTCCAACCACTGGGTGAAGACTAAGAAATGAGCAACTGACCCCGGAATCGCTAAGCCGGCAATGATGGAACAGCATAGCCCCAGAATCAAGAGTGGATACTCCTTGCTGTTATGCTTGACGTTGAAGGCCAAAGTCCTGGTCAAGCCCAAGCTTTCGATCTTCTTTTCGAAGTTTGACACGTCGGCTGAGCCGTTTGACAGACTGTTTTAGATAACGTCCAGATCACGAGGTTGCTTCTCATTTAGGTCTTGCACAAGGGCATCCTTGCCATGACTATGGGCCTCTGCCTCTTCGATTCCTTCATGACTATCGTTGCTGCTGGCCAATTTGCCTTCCGAGGAGCCAGAATATATCTGCTGTGCACGAACCAGGCTGGGGTAGTGACCATCCCGGGCGACTATATCGTCATGAGTACCCTGCTCTGCCACTCGCCCTTCAGACATGACGATGATGTTGTCGGAGTGGCGGATTGTACTCAACCGATGGGCAATAATGATTGTTGTATGCTGCCGTGCTGCTTCCTCAATAGCTACTTGTACTGTAGCTTCTGACTTGGAGTCCAATGCGGAGATGGCCTCGTCCAGCAACAGAATTGAGAGGTTCCTGATCAAGGCTCTGGCAATGGAAATCCGCTGCCGTTGGCCCCCAGCGAGCTGGAATCCCTTCTGTCCAACCTGAGTCTGGTAGCCTTCCGGGAGGGCTGTGATGAAATCATCGGCATTCGCTTTTCTTGCCGCTGAAATAACTCGTTCTCTGATTTCTTCCGGGCTTTCTTGTATCGCCTTCTCCCTGCGGCTAAGTTCTCCATACCGGATGTTCTCAAAGATGGTTGCGTCGAAAAGTCTAGGCTCTTGTCCAACGAGAGCCATCTGGCCTCTGAGCCAACTAAGATTAAGTGATTGGATATCCTTCCTGTCCAGGCCTAAAATCAGTCAGAAAATTCAATTGATATGATCATTTCTTGCGCATATCGGCAGCGGCTGAGAAAGGTCCACTCACAAACCTTGCCTGCTGTTGACTCATAAAATCTCTCTATCAAAGCGACAATGCTGCTCTTTCCACTGCCCGAAACCCCTAAAATGGCCGTTATTTTCATTGCAGGACACGCAAACGACACCTTGTGCAGGACGATTCGGTTATCTCGCGAAGGATAGATGAGACTGACACCTCGAAATTCAACATCTCCTTTTACGGTAGCGGAACAGTCCCCCGAGCTCGCGAAAGGGTCCTGTGTAGAGCGTCGGGCGATCTCCTCGAGAGAAATCTCTGCACTCGAAACTGTTGAACTAAGAGCTTGTGCTGCAGGGTCGATTCTGACAATAACAAAGGCCCCGATAACCACCACCAGTGCCGTAGTGGTCAGCGCCGCCACAGATACTTCGCCCCGAACAAAGAAAATAGAGCTAGCCCAGAACGTTAGAGCATACACAAGAGAGGGCACAGCGTTGGAACAGGCAATCATGCCCGCGATCGCATTCTGGCTTCTGATACCAGGCCGTCTTGCGCTCGTCAAACACGAGGAATACTTACCGGCTATGTGCTCCTGGATGCCAAAGGCCGACACGAGCCTCATGGAGGCGATTGCCTCTTCGGCGAGACTAGACGCCTGGCTGCTTTGTGCCATGACTATTTTGTGTTGTTTTACGACATACGCGCCGCCGAACGAACCAATGACGACCATGGCAACGAAGGTTGGGCTGAGGACTAGCGCTGTCTTCCAGTACATGATGAAGTTGATAACGAACGCCGTGGCAAATGTCGCGAAGGCGGTCAAGGCAATGGATGCTTTGCTCGTGATTCCCTCCTGCACGAGATTCATGTCGGACATAATACGGGTGGATATCTCGCCGGGGCTGTGGGTGTCGAAATAAGCCATGTTCTGGCGCAAGATTGCCTTCAGATATGCATTTCGAAGGGCACGTATGATGCGTTTGCCAGAATAGTAGAACTCGACCGTTGACACGTAGATCACGACAAAGATAGCGATGGCTAAATACACGTAGTACAGTGTATATTTGTCGAGTTTTGAGCGCATTTGACGTTTTTCGACAGATCCACCTACATAATCGTCAAAGGCGCCGACGAGATTACCATATATAACCTATAATACAAACGTCAAACGTTTAAGACTACGCGTATAAACATGGTTCGCTATCATACAGCTATAAGTGGGTTCAGTATGCCCCCATTACTGCGCAGATAAAGCTGACGAGCAGTAGTCTTGTCGAAGGCAGTAGCATATTCGAAAATTGTTCTTCGGTGGCCTGGATCCTTAGGGAGTAGACCGTTAAGTTGATAGCCAAGGATGTTTCTCTCCTTCTTGCTGAGATCTATCTTGGAGATGACGATGCGAACAATTGCAGATTAGTGAAACGAGGTCGAGGCTGAAGCACTAGTGCGGAGGCTAAGTTTAGGAAGTTTCAATCAATTATTGTGTCTCTAATGTTTTTCATACAGATAGTGATTGCATTCAAGGAAAAAACATGTTCCGTGTTAGTGCTTAGTTATTTTTCTTTAGCCCGAGAACCGTTCTAATGAGGAGGACTGCCACAGTGGATAAAAATTGATCCTTCTGACTGTACCTTACCTAACAGCTGACCATCTTAGAATCTGCATAAAGGTCAACTTACAACCCCTTCCTGTAAGGTCAGCTTACACCCCTTCCTGCAAGGCCAGCAACTCAACCTAATCGCACTTCCATCCGTGACGATAGCACTCAGGTAGCATAGCGCAGTGCAAAGGGTCATGCAATGAAAGAAGGAAATCACAACTTAATGAAGGCCCAGGTCACCTGACCTCCTGTAGTTAGATAGGCTTGCGCTGCCACCACAGGTTGCCACTATAGCTGACCTATTCATCACTTTTCTAGGTGTCCATCACAACTCATGATCACATGGGAATTCCTCGCATCCCGTTAAGCGTGCTGAAGCACAAGGTGAGGAGATTCTGTGATGTTGCATCCGTATGTTCATCTTAGACCCCGGATTCGTTAACAATGCCGTAGTCGCTGCATCAGAATATCCGATGTGTTGTTAAAAGCGGCGCTGGCATTAAGTAAGCGCTTTAGAACTCTCCTCGACTGAAGTTTATATACTTTACAGTGAACACTATGGTCTGTTGAGGCGTGAACAACGTTCTATTTCGAATGTGTTATATCCACGCCGACTAGCATCGAACTCTATCCTTAAAATGCGCTTGTACTAGTACTACATGATCCAAAACATTGATGGATGTTTGGACATCGTGAAGGTTATTATAATGAACCAGGCTCACACGAAGCACACCTTCATCACCGAGTCCAAGGACACCATGCACCGGTCTGAGCGAGTAAGCGTTCCCTGCTAAGATACGGCATGGAGACGACTCGTGAATGATCCTAGCGATCACCTGGGAGTGCACTCCGTTAACCGTGAACGAAACAAGAGATACTCGAAGCTTCAGATCAGACGACTTTTCGCCATAAAGAGTGAACCATTCCGGGTGTGAATTGAGGTATTCAAGCAGAGGTCGGACGATGACTACCTCATGTGCAATGATGTTATCCCAACCGAGGCGCTGAATGTACCGTACTATCTCAAGTACACCGTCCTCGAACTCGAAGCAACTCATGCCCTGGCGGACTTTGACGTTAAGGGGTGTGGGGTCGAGATGGTAATGACTTAGACTCGTCATGAATCGTTGTTGTACGGAGCTGCGGGCGTACATTTGTGCGTAATGCGGCCCAAACAACTTGTACCAGCTGAAGAAATAGAAGTCAACGTCCATTACTTTGACATCAATGGGCCGGTGAGGAGCCCAAGCTACTCCGTCGACCGAGAGTATGGCATCCGGAATTGTATGGACAACATCTGCGACTGCACGAATGTCATGTATAGTACCGAATATGTTTGATACATGACCACAAGTTGTTTCCTAATCAAGTTTCTTCTTACTTCTTACTACTAGACGTTCTTTCTATATTATGGAGAAACCTAAACTAACTAAATGGAAAGCTTGCGAGAAATGCGGCGTGGTTGTCCACAGGGGTTCGCTCGCGAAACATTCTACTATTCTTCATAATTATTGCCATCATTGCCATCGATACTACGCAGGAAAGAAATGGGAGCGGCATCAGCAATTATGTTCGGGTAATATACAATTCGCTTGTCGTAAATGTCGAGAGGCGTTCACAAGCCTATATTATCTCCAGAAACATGAGTCGCGTTTGCGCTTTCATTGTCGATGTGGGGAGTCTGGCCTCAAGATCCAGGAAAAAACCCACGCCAATATCTGCAGGGCAACCCAGCCTTTTTTACAGTTTGTAAACACCTATAACCAAAGGGCAGCTACAGCAATCAAAAAGGCACGTACAATATTCGGTCAGATGAATCATGCCCGTCCTGATTTATAGGCGCGATATAATAATATTCTGGAGGCATGTGATATTGGACAGGCAATCACAGCAAACCAATATCTAGCTAGATCTTGGGATATATGCACGCCTACTCACGAGTTCATTCTCTGTACTTAAGAAGAAGCCAGGATTATTCTAGAGAAAGCGACACCGGTCTTACCTATCCTCATCCCTGCAGAGCTCCATGATGGCTACTCTTGCCTGTCAATAGAAGGGTTTCTGGATTATCTTGGAGCCCAGCCGACACTCGATGTCCACAACTTCAACCGAAACATCTCCCCACCGCCTGAAGAAGTTCAAGATCTATCGTCATTAACATTCGACATACCATCGCGGATGAATTCTCGAGACGCGATTGTACTATTCAAAGATCAGAATAAAGGGCCCGTTAATTTTCTGAACCTCAGCTGCTTAAAACAGAACCCTGTTCCACCTTGTCTATCGAACCTGCGCCCTTATCAGATCCTAGAAGCACTAAAGGAAGTCCCGGGTAGTTGCAAGAGGAGTCGTGTACAATTCTCCGACCTTTCGGAGTGCGCTCGATTTCATATATGCGGCAAACGAGGGGCTTTGATACGTGACCCCATGGGGGTTACTCTATAGCTATAGATAAGATAGATAAGAGCTATAAAAGAGCTCTGCCAGGCCAGAATAGCTGACCTGGCCATCCTTTCCCAATACAACAATTCACACCCCATATGCACTCGCATCAAATGGTAGCATCTCCTCGAGATTGAGTAAATCCACCAAACCAAACCAACCATCTATCGATCGATCAAGATCACCATCACGGCTACGATCCTATCGCCGCCAGCGTTTCGCACGCACCAAAACCAGCCAGATCGGCCCCAGATCTATCAAGATCACCATCGCGTCACGCACCTATCACGCACACCTTCATTAAGAGGACCCTTTCATTAGGCCAGTCTTCTAGCAGCACCTAAGTATTACGATCGCAGCGATTACGAAGCGATCACTATCACAGTCTATCGAGGGACCCTTTCACTAGGCCAGTCTCTACCAGAATAACCGTCCCGGAGTCTATCTACAACATCAAGCGCCCACAGCCGCCGGCCGTCAAGATCTCTTCGACTTCGTTTCCTTTCATCGAGTCGAGTCTATCGCCGTCGCCTTCCGATCATACGATTCCCTATACTAAACGCACTAGAGCGAACATATCGTCAAGAGCACTGCCCCGAACACAGTCAAAGGTGTCAGCATCCGTATCCCCGTCAAGGTCAGATATACAGCAGCTGGCAACATGATGCAACAGTACTTTGGCCTGGCCATCGACACAATGCCTTCGGAGACCCCGCTATACAGAGCTTGGCTTGAGCAGTCTCCTCCGAATACAGCGATTTGGCCAACTTAACAGCTCTACACCTTGGCAAGTACCGCTGCACCAAACGTACTGAGGACAGTACCATTTTCCGTGTAGCCCGGCATTTTGATACGTGACCCCATGGGGGTTACCCTATAGCTATAGATAAGATAGATAAGAGCTATAAAAGAGCTCTGCCAGGCCAGAATAGCTGACCTGGCATCCTTTTCCAATACAACAATTCACACCCCATATGCACTCGCATCAGGCTTTCTCGCTACCTCATATCGACCATCACGGCGTTCTTACGACGGTTTTTAACGAGGCGGGGGGAAAACTTTGGATATGCTGGCCACGAGGTGATGTTTCTAAGTGGGCTTGTTCAAATAATCAGCCTAAGCGACCATATTGTGGACTATACTTGTACCTAGGCTGCACCTTAATCCAGCCACCAGGAACTATTCACGCCCCATTTTCTATCAGATGTCCTTATGACCAGAACAATGCACTGGGATAACCGAAACATGCTCCAAATTATGGAACTATCGAAGCTTGATGCGGAATATCAACATATTACGAACGAAGGAGTGGCTAAGGAGTTCATACGCAAGATCGGACGGATCGCGGACCTGTGGGCACAAGGCTGCCCTTCTTGGACGTGGCCGCAAATAGAACACTATGATCAATTCATCGCTATTAAGAAGTTAAAGCTACCTAATCGTTCCCAATTCTTATAACTAGCTAATGCGAAAGTAGTGGTTTGAACAGGGCTGCAAGTGTAAGAAGAGGTGGGGTAAAAGTTGCAAATGTCAAGGAGAATGCAATTGTCGTTGCCACGATGGAGACCCGTGTCCTTCTTAAGCTATGTGAGACTTCTAATCACCTGTCTATGCCTCCTGAGCACTAACTCGTTCGTTAGATTACAAATGTTGCGGGATATAAGGCGGACGGAGTATTGATACCTTCGTATTACAGGCCGCTTACCAATGCCCATAGTTATGGGAATGACAGAAAACATATCATGCGTACCGGAGAAATAGAGAGGCTTAAATAATGTGTTCGGAAATTTCCATCCAGGAATTTGCATAAATATAAGAGTAACTGGGGAGGCGACTTACCAGAAGATCGTCTCACGGGAGGGCTCTAGGCAACGAAGCGACTTTAAATATCATATTAGAAGAGAAATATAAGAGTAGCTACAAGGTTAGGGATAGTAGTAGGCGAGATGGATAGAGTGTATAGCTGTTCATGGCGATCTCGATTTTATTGCTTAGCTTAGTGAATTGAAGTGAAAGGAGATAGCTGTAGGGGGGGAAGGGGAGAAAGGGGTTGCAAGAACCTTGCGTCCGGATCCAACAAAGGAACCATCGAGGGCATATAAAAACATAGTTTGTGTTCTCGGAAAACTCGCTTATTTTACTTTCCTCCTCACTTAGATAATGAACAGTATTTTGCCATGTTGAGCTGTATAGTTTCGCAGTGAGCCCGTCACATATTATCTAACTCATCTTCCACTCTTTTATTCCTGGCACTCTGGCATTATTATGAGCAGCACCTTTCGTGCACCTTCCTCCGTTTCTTCTGACGACCGAAGTACGCCCGACGACGCGATGGCAGAACCACCCTCTCAAGCGGGCTTGACTTCACAAGCGGCAAACGCCCTGTTCACACCAGAGGTTCTTGAGCAACTCAGAAACCTCTTGAGGACCGACGAAGCTCCCACGCCGAAGCTCGTCAGAGCCCAACCGACTGGCGCTAAGAAGAGATCGGAATGGCCGAAATGGGACGGCAAGAAGGAGACGTACATGACATACATCCACAAGCTCGAGGTCAAGATCGAAGTGGATTGGGACATGCTGGGCAGCCGAAAGGCTATCTGCCTGGATATAGTCAACACCCTCTCCGCGGACCTCCAAACTCGAGTGGCACACTGGTTCAAGAAAGGAGGACCAGATGGTGAATACGACCACGAGAAGTTTATCGACCACTTCAACGAGAACTTCGAAGACAAACAGGCCACCAATGCTGCTGGAGAAGACCTCGCACATATGCGTCAAGGGACACATCAGCTCTTTGCAAACTTCCTGCGAGACTATGAACACAAGCTAGCCCAAGCTGACGGTCTTGACTGACCTGATCGAGTTAAAATTAATGGGCTCAACATCGGCATAAACGACCGGTTACGAAATGCTCTGGTCTCTGTGAACGAGTTGTCTGACGACAATTACCCTCTCTTTGTTATGCAATTGAGACGGACGTCGGGGAAGCTGGAAGCCTTGGAGGACTATACCTGAAGGTCAGGACACAAAAACGCCAAGACAGTGTATAGCCACCGAAACGGCAGGTCACAGCCCACCGTCGCCACACAGGGAGGAAGCTCATCCGGTACAAGAACCAGGCCCTCCTCCCTTCCAGCACCGCCCGCGATTGACCATAAGGGAGATGTTGCAATGGCAGGAGTCGACAATGTCACCCTCCAAACATTAGCAACCCTTGTTGCTGCAATGCAAGGGAACCCTGGCCGCAGCAAGAAGAAGGTCCGGAGCAGAGGTGGTGACAAGCCGAGGGCGCCCTGGATGCCTCAGGAGGAATTTGAGCTCCTCAAGGATCAAGGCAAGTGTACCCGCTGCAAGAAAAGCAGGCCATTTTGGTTTCAATTGCCCGGACTTTTCGAGGCCAGCAAAGCCATCTCGAACGAATCACGCACAGTCCAAGGCCGTAGCGGGATACGTTTCCGAAGACTCAGTGTCGTCGTCGGAAAACGAGTAACCCCTGAGCTAAGACGCACTCAGGGGTCGGAAACAATCTCGGCGAAGGAAGTGAAGGAAGCAATGAAAAAGATGGATAGCACACCGTTTCTCATAGATACACTAATTAACTCAGGTTTTTATGTGGACTCTCTGTTCGATACCGGCTGCCTTTGTTTCTCTGCATTTTCGGAGGGACTAGTCCGACGTCGAAAATTACCGCGCATACCCGTCAAGGCTCGAGAGCTTCAATTAGCTGAGAATGACGATAAGAAGAGGTGGATCCGAGAAATCACCCACGTTGGCATGGACATTGACGGGAGACGAGAAACGGTGTACGGGTACATTATCCAAGATCTGGCATATGACGTAATCCTTGGGAAACCATGGATGGAGGCCAACGATGTGGTTTATCTCGCAAAGAGGAGAGCTATTCGGTTCGGCAGCAAGAAACACGGTCTCGTAGTCAGGGAGAAAGGATGGTATCATACTCGCGCTCCGAATGACGTGAAGAAGCGAGTCTCAGCGGTATCAGTGGGTGCTGCACGGATGATCATCGGCAGCCACTTTACGGTTCTCGCGAGGAGAGCCAGGAAGGATCGAAAGACTCGGCTATTTGCTGCTACAATGGCAGATATTAACAAGGCCTTAGAGCCAAAGAGGAAGCAATCGCCTAAAGAAATAGCGGCCAACTTACCTCGAGAAGTGAGGGAAAACGCCCGGTTCTTCACAGAGGATGAGAATAACGAGGTTCCCCCACATCGCCCTGGAGTCGACATGGAAATCGAGCTCCAGAAGGACGAATATGGACGCGAGAAAGAGGTCCCAAATGGACCCCTCTATGACATGTCCAGGGAAGAGCTCCTAGTACTTAGGAAGACTCTTACCGACCACCTTGATCGAAATTGGATTAGGGCCAGCGCCTCCCCAGGAGGTGGACTCCGATTCTGCGTGGATTATAGAGAACTGAACGCGATCTCTGAGAAGGACCGTTACCCACTCCCTCTGATACGGGAGACGCTGAGAGCCGTGGCAAAAGCTACATACGTTACGAAGGTAGACGTGAGAGCCGCTTTTCACAAGCTTCGGGTTCGAGAGGGAGATGAGTTCAAGACGGCGTTCCGTACGAGGTATGGTTCTTTTGAATGGTTGGTAACGCCATTCGGGCTCACAGGGGCCCCAGCGGCGTTCCAGAGGTGGATCAACAAAGTTCTCAAAGACTTTTTGGGAGACTTCGTTTCGGCTTACTTGGACGATGTCTTGATCTATACTGGCGGAGACCTGACAGACCACTGGGTCAAAGTCAATACTGTCCTTGCCAAGCTGGGAGCTGCTGGCCTGAAACTCGATCCGAAGAAAAGCGAATTCGCGGTGAAGGAAACAAAATACCTAGGTTTCATTATTTCGCTGGGCGAGGGGATTAAGGTCGACCCGGAGAAGGTCGAGGCTATTAGAGGCTGGGAAGCCCCCACGTCAGTAAAGGGGGTTAGAAGCTTTATCGGTTTTGCCAACTTCTACAGGAACTTCATCCCAGACTTCGGCAAAATCGCCGACCCCCTATTACGCCTGACCAAGAAAGGCACGAACTTTCAGTGGCGTGGGAAGGAACAACAAGCGTTCGACCAACTCAGGGAGCTGTTTATGACCGCACCAGTTCTCGCTATGTGGGACGAGTCGAAGGATACGATCTTGGAAGCTGACTGTTCCGGATACATGATGGGCGGGTGTTTATCACAGGTCGACAAAGAAGGACGACTCAGGCCCGTCGCCTATTTATCCAAAAAGCTGAGCCCAGCAGAATCAAACTACGAGATTCATGACAAGGAACTGCTCGCGGTAGTCAGGTGCATGGAGGAATGGCGTGGCATGCTCATCGGATTGGAAAAGCCCTTCGTGGTACTGTCAGATCACAAGAACTTGCAGTACTTTATGACAACCCAAAGACTCTCAGAACGACAAGTCCGGTGGTCACACACCCTCTCGCAGTTTAATTTCACGCTGAAGCTCAGGGCTGGTAAGAGCGCTTTACGTCCAGATGCACTCTCACGGAGAGAGCAAGACATGCCTCAAGGCGTCGACGATGAACGCCTACGAAACAGGGAATTCCAATTACTGAAGGACTCATGGGTCAAGCCTCACCAGGCGGACTTTGTACAGACCCAGATCTCCTCCATACAACTCGCCCCAGTGTCAACCGAGCAACAGTCAGCCAGCCTGCCCAAAGGACGAAACAACTGGACGGTAAGAGACGTCAATAGCGTGGAGACTACGCCTTTTTGGGCTACTTACCAGCAGGCATTGTGGTGCCTAGGAACGTGATTTCACAGCTCCCATGGTATCCAGTAATGCGGTTCTGCGAGCGTCATGGTGTCCAGTAACCTGATTCACGGCTTCGTAGGGTTCCTAGAAACCTAGATGAGGGATGGCGGAGCTCCTGACTGCCTGCTGTGTCTAGTAACGCAGTTCACAGACTACTGCCATGTCTAGTAACCTGGCTCAAAGCATTAAGTCGTGTCTAGTAACCCCCGCCCTTAGGCCGTAGCTGTGCCTAGTCACCCGGCTTATAGATAGTGCATTGTGTCTAGTAAGATAACTTTAAACACTCGACGTGCCCAGTAACCTGATAGGGCTTTCAAAGGGTGGAGCCAATCGGACAGCAGCGCAGGTACATGGGATAAATATACAAGCCACTTGGAAATAAGCTTAAACGGTATAGGATGAAGAACTATGGAGTAGTGAAATAAGAACTAGCAACAGCCAGTTCCAATTGAAACTTATATATAGCACTTCTCGCCATGTTCTTATTTTAGCGTGTCGGCTGGTGTAGTTGGTCACTTCGCTGGTAGATAAGTCCCGATTTGAGCCTCGCCCACTTGGGTCGGTGACGAGTCGCGGGTTCGAATCCCGCAGCTGACACACAAGGGGGTTTAGTCAACCCTTACGGCGCGCTGCCCACCTTGTTGACTTCGCCTACCTAGCGATAATAGGGAGATTGGTGCAGTTTAGGATTACGAGCATCCTAGCCAGTCGACCGTCAAGCACTACGTCGGCGGAATATAACTCGACAGCCGGTCCAGAATTCGAATCGTTAATCCGACCCCTTATCGGACCTCGCCTATCCGATAACGCTCGTCGGCGAACCCGTCCCCTCACGATAGAAGGCGCGCAGCACGCCCCCTCGCCGCGATTCTTGCGAGCGTCTAGACCACGTTACGGTCTATCCACTTGAGCGTATGGTTGAGATGTATACGCTCGACGAGAACCCCAATTAGCAGATACTACGACTTGTCGCGACAAAAAATAGTCGAGCATCTTCTGCACATCAGCAGCATCCCACCCCTGAGGACGAGTTTAAGTGCCACATTACCACGCTTATCGGTAGTTCAGGCAGGGGTTGTAGCACAGACTTAGGGAGGGACAGGAGGTTTAGTAGTCGTTTGGCTACAAGTTTACCTGTATAACCGCCCGACGCGGCTTAAGGGCCCGCTATATCATCTATAGCCCCTTAAGGGAGTACTTGTAGAGGTACCGAGGGTTAACACCTACGGCGTATTTAATATTATTATTTTTTTTTATTTTAGCGTTATGCGTTTTTAGTAGGTGAAGGGTCTCCACCCACGAAGCTATTTTTAACTAAGCCATTCCGACGTGGCCAGAACTGGACTCAACTTACCATAGTAGCCAAAATAAAAAAGGTTCGATTTTGGAATTGCTCCTAGAAGGCTCCTAGGTTATATAAATAGTGTAATATCTCCATAAAAGTTGAGCCTATGATGTCCAGTACTATCGTTTTGCGGGTGCCATGGTGTCTAGTAATGTGGGCTCGGAAAGTGCGTCGTGTCTAGTAACGCAGCTTTTAGGCCGCTGTTGTGCCTAGTAGCCCGGCTCAGCCCCTTCAGAGCCGTGCCAGGTTACTGGACACCACAGGACCGTAAAACCGTGATACTGGAAACCATGGGACGCAGAACTTACGGAGTCCAGTAACCTGGTTCCAGGGCTTCGTGGGGATCCTAGAAACCCAGTTACCTTGTAAAGACCATGTGTCGTGCCCAAGAACCTGCGATGCAACGTGTCTAGTAACGCAGCTCCCGGAGCTGCTACCATGCCTAGTAACTGTGGATCCAAATCAGAGGATCTGATTGGCTACATCGTTGCTCTTAAGCAACATTTCGTAGCTTCGGAAATAGCTGAGCTTTCTAGAAAAAACACCATCAAAAGAGATCTGAACCACACAACTGACTTGGCACGAAATCAATCCTGATATTCGTGACTTGAGTCCTGTGAGGTCAGATCGACCAGGATACACAAAAATAATTATTTTTGTTGAGACACCCTCAGCAAATCCTACACAAAACGCAACCGCAAACATCACAATCACCACTACGTCACGTCCGTATCACGACCGTGTCACTACCGCGCAAATGGCTGAACCCCGTCCAGCTTCACCTACAATCACTGCCGATGATGTGGGCGGCAAACTCGAAGCACACGCCAACAACGCACAGATTGTCAAGCATGTCAACAATGTGACTGCTAGCATTGCTGACCATCTTACCAAGCAAGCCCAAAGCATCCATTCGCTAGATCAAAAGCTGGAAAGCAAGTTCAACGATGTCAATAAGCAGCTTTCCGAGCTTATGGCAGCTATTCGAGCGAATAACAGCGTCCCTAACTCACACACAACCACCGCTGACGATGAAGCTACTATTGATGAGACCACTGCTGAGACTCCTCACAATGCTGACGTTACCGCTCGACAGAACGGTATTCGAGACGCAGCCCGATTGGCCAAGTCGGGAATCCGACCAGATGGCACCGTCGACGCAGCCTGGAAGCCTGATAGACAGAGGCCTAGCTTAAAGCCTCTCCATGAAGGGCCGCGGTACTCTGATGCCGAACGGAATCTCGACGGTACGATCAACCTTACGCGAGCCTCTAACACTATGGCCTATACAGACGATGAGAAGCGCGTTCAAGACGCCTGGCCTGACATTATGCTTCAAGCTGAAGCTGAAGGACTTGGCGAGTGTCAAGAGAAGAACAAAGTTGTCCTGCCGGTACATCTCAAACTTGTCCGAGCCGACGAGAAGGTATTCGACAAGCTTAGCGAGATTCAGCTACTGCTACGTCAAGCACTCGTGCCCTATCGATTATGGGGTATTCGCGTTGCCCTCGAACTCAATGGCGATTTCCAGCAAGTAGCTGCTTGGGCAAAATCGTGGCGACCGTCGTGGGTCCTGTTTATCGAAGCGATCATACAGGTATTGAACAAGCACCACGTCTTGTACAACTCGATTACGAGCTTCACGTCTATGTTACCACGTCAGGACGAAGCTATGCTCAACTTCCTTTGGAGAGTCCGCGACGCATTCTATCGAATGCCTTCTAGCCAGCAATCGTCGTACCCTATCCGCGGTGTACTGACTGATAAGCTGAAGACAGTCACTCCAAGCGTGTGGAAAGACCTCCATAAGCATACGAATCTGATAAATACTGCCGAAATCATCGAAGAAGCTATCTATTATGCTGAGTTGATTACTCGCACTAAGATTGAAGACAAGGTCTTCAGTACGCCAGCAACTACTATCCAGCTTGAAGGCACTTCAGCTCCTTACTTCAACCTGAACATATCTGAAGCAACTACCTCTAAGCCTGGCATTGCACAATTGCAACCAGCTAACGCTGTTACCGGTACCCAAACTACACTCACAGGTTCCGCTATTTCTGATCCCCGCATCGATGATCGCACTGTTCATCTAAGCACAGAGAGTTGCTGTGCTACGCATGAATCACAAAACAAGTGTTTTAACTGCGGCAAAGTTGGCCATTGGGCTAAGGACTGCAGATCCAAGGTCAGCTGGCCAGGAAATGATAAATCCCCCGGTCAGAATGTCACAATCAAAGGCATGATGTATAAGGAAACTGACAAATTCGGCAATAAAGTCCGAAGAACGTTTGACAAGTGGAAGTCTAGCAAGAACGACAAGAAAGTATATTTTGTAGAGCCCGAGACCGGCGATGAAGACGATAGAAGCCCAGCAGAACGTCTCGAAGACGACGATATTGACGAAGAGCTTGCTGCAATCTTTGCAACTATCTATGACGAAGACTAGGACAGCCGCGTTCACCTCGTGGAAGTGAACGCTGGCAACCAACCACCACCATTACGCGACAAGCCGTTACGCGAAGGATTTGGTGATCCACATAACTTATTCGCAGCACGTCTTTAGAACAACCACAAATTTTCCGTCTTCTTCGACTACGGATGCACTAGTTGTTATGCGTCTAAATCACTAGCGAAATATCTTTCCGCATGCAACACGTCCAAACCAGCAACTATGTGTCAGGTGCAAATAAGCCACAGTGGCTTGGCCTGGACAGGGGTCGGAGATGTATAACTAGGCTGCTGTGACCCCTCTTCTTTTAGAGAGGGCAGCGATTAACTTGTCGTTATTGAGTCCCCTATACTACGCTATTGGTACCTACCTGGTGACTGGCAGCTTGTTTCGCTTGAGCACTCTCGTCCTTCACTTTGCACTTGAAATCCCGTGACACTATGACAGGCGTTGGCGGCTCAGGCCCGCAAATCGGACAAGATGCTGTGGTCACAGCAAATTTTCGTACGGATGATAGCGGCTGGAGCACTTCTTTCTCTGTCTCATGCGGGATTGTACCTGACGGCACTTTCCCCGGTGATCTTACCTTAGGTAAAGGCATCTTCCACAAATGGGGTCTTTACTGTAACGGAGATACGCGCAAGTCCGAGAAGGAAACAGTAACCCTGAGAAGGTTTGATGGAATGCCTGTCTTGCAACCAAGCATACCTGGTATCAGACGACAGACTTCCCGATAACGCGTTTCAAAGCGAAGAAAGGGAAGGAGACGAAGTTGATGATAACCAGCAGCAAATTGAACTACAATCGGTATTGAGATGCCTTCGGTGTTCTTGGGGGAGGAACGAAAGATACTTGTCTGATGAGCCCTTACTGTCTTTGAGGAGGATCTATTGATTGACTGAGGACAGTCAATTTGACGAAGGGGGTATTGTGGATCCAAATCAGAGGATCTGATTGGCTACATCGTTGCTCTTAAGCAACATTTCGTAGCTTTGGAAATAGCTGAGCTTTCTAGAAAAAACACCATCAAAAGAGATCTGAACCACACAACTGACTTGGCACGAAATCAATCCTGATATTCGTGACTTGAGTCCTGTGAGGTCAGATCGACCAGGATACACATAACCATGCCTGTACTAATATTTACGTATCAGTATCTATATACTAGTACATGGGCTCCTTAGCCTCAGGCTGGACCCATAAGCCACAAGTGGGTTAGTTGTGGGTCTGAAATTGTGGCTGGTGCGTTGTCGTCAAATGTTTTGGAACTAGTGAGACCAGAACTTTCTCGCCATCTCGTGACGCGTCACTCTATTTGCTCCATATGGCTCCCAATGCAAGAACATCAAGACTACAGACGCGAAACCTGCTGGGATGATGGACCAGCTCCGATTAAATATCACTGAAGACAACCTAAATATCATTGAAGACAACCCCATTGACACAGGCCTTGACAGTTTTCATGTTTCGTTCGCTTCGACCTGCCAAAGTCGCGGCCTCTCGTGTTCGCCAGGCTCCCTTGGCCATCTCGGCCATAATGGTAATTCGTTCCAATTTCATCTACCTACTTCTCTGACTAGTGCAGACCTCCAAGACTTGACTCTTGATCTCCTCGCAGCGCTGCAAGGCCTTCGAATCTCACGACTCCTTCCCTCCACTGGCAGAGGCAAGAATCTTCTCAGCGATCTGACTAGACTCAACTCTGCCGCCAATTCCGATAACTTCGACTTCGACCGAGTCCGGCCTCTTCTAGATGTAACGCTCGCCAAAAGCGCCGACGGCGACATCTGGGAGCAAGTCTACATCGCCGTCACCGAGTCCACCCCCCCTCCCCGACCAGTTGCCTCTTCTCTCCAGCAGACCCCATGGCTCCGCAACACCAGCAGCTTCCCGAACTCTTCCGAGTATAGAAAACACGTTGATGATGTGCTGAAGGAGGAGCTTGGCCCTATGTATATTGGGCTCCCTCACTTCTACGACACATTTTTCGACGACGTCGCCGATCTCAAAACAGCATCTGAGGCATTCTTCGAGCAGTGCATCGGTGGTACTGACCCATTCTTCGAAGACGGTTGGAGAGGCTGGCCACCGGACGCGAGACAGGACGATGTGCTCACATGGTTTACGGGCTTCTGCGAGGAACTGGCGGCGTTTGCAGAGGGCCGTGAGAATCGTCCTATGCGTCAACCGAGACTCTTGGCAAAGCCTAATGAGCTGATTGACGGTTCCGTGGGGAAGCGCAAGATGGACATTGGCTTCGTGAGCAACCCTCGTGCGGGAAAGGACACGAGATGCCAATGGTCTCAGATCCTGGTGCCAGGAGAGCTGAAAAGCAACCCCGCTGCCGATAAACCTTCCGAGGCATGGCTTGACCTTGGAAGATACGCGAGGGAAGTGCTCGCTGCGCAGGATACGCGACGTTTTGTACTAGGCTTTACTATCTGCGGGTCTCTTATGAGGGTGTGGGCTTTCGACAGGGTTGGTGGTATCGCCTCTGAACAATTTGATATCAACAAAGATGGGCATCGATTCGTGTTTACGATCCTCGGTTTCCTCTGGATGAGCGACAGAGAGCTCGGGTTTGATCCAACAATACTGACCGCAAATAAGGAGCGCTTTATCGAGATTAAGCGGAATGGTTCCACGGAGCGGGTCATTATCGATGGAGTAATGCTGCGGGCACGATGCATAGCCGGCCGAGCGACGACTTGTTGGAGGGCTCACCCCGACGGTCGCGAAGATATACCGCTTGTTATCAAGGATTCGTGGCAATATCCTGAACGTGATGAGGAGGGCGAACTGTTACGCGACATAGTGGACAAAAGTGTCGTTAATGTCGCCCGGTATTATTACCATGAGACGGTTCAGATTCGCAATATGGACGACGATATTCGAAATAACATTCGACGGGGACTGGACATTACCACAGCTACGAACTATCGGCCGGGACGCCCGATATTAAGCAACGTAGCAGCGGATACGGTGCGGACGGGCCGCACCAATGCGAGCATCAATAGGAAGCGGCCGTCCAGCCAGACTGACGCCGAGTTGCCACCGAGCAAGCGGTCTTGCTCTGTATCTCCAACGAAGGCTATCAGCGCACTGCCAAACCGGGTACATCGGCGCGTTATCCTCCGAGACTACGGCGAGCCTATATACACGGCAAGCTCCCGATCGGCTCTACTTGCTGCTCTGGAGGGCTGTATTGAAGGCCACGAGTCCTTGCGAAAAGCGGGCATTCTCCACAGAGATATCTCCATTAACAACCTCTTGATTAATGAGGACAGTGACAACCCGTCCTGGCCTTCATTCTTGATAGACCTTGACCTTGCCATCAGGGAGCAACGAGACGTTGCCTCGGGAGCAAAAGGAAAGACCGGCACGCGAGCTTTTATGGCAATCGGGACATTACTAGGCGAGCAGCATTCCTTTATGCACGATCTCGAATCCTTCTTCTGGGTACTCTTCTGGATATGCATACACTACGACACAAAGGGCAGAGATATGGGGCCAACTGAGTTTGATAGTTGGAATTACGAGAGCGACAATAAGCTGGTTCGATCAAAAGTTGGTACGATAGGCGATGAGAGTATCTTTCTCAAGATCGCGACTGAGAATTATACGCCATATTACCAGCCACTAATCCCGTGGGTTAATAGGCTACGAAGGAAGGTTTTTCCAAATGGTGAAACGTGGAAGAGGCCGGAGCCGGAGCTTTATTCCTCAATGAAGGAGATCCTTCGCGACGCGCGGAAGAACCTAGAAATGCCAGTAGACGAGTAGCGTTGTATGAAAAGACCAAGCCATTCACAATTGACCGAGCTTCATGGGCAACTCTAACCTCCACAGACTGTTTAGCATCCGTGAGTTGGTTCCTTTCGGTTCGCTTCCACCCATCTATGTCAATTTCTATGTAATCTTTGCCCTCTTCCGATACTCTGTTGATGACGAGATGATGCAGCGACTTTGTGTTTTCCGCTTCAATGGCGAGAAAACAGGATGGTGAGCTTCCCGAGGGCCAGTAGGCGTCTTTATATCCTGCTTGCTGCTGTACATGGGGGAATCACGTGATTGGATGTTGTATAGGGCTAAAGGAAACTAGACAACAAAACTCGTTCGTTCTGTCCTTCATCTCTCCCACAGGGGCACATAGTACTAAGCCCCTATGCTAGTACCGGGCTCTAGGGGATCACCAGCTCCTCTGTACTCTCCGAGTCTTCGCATCTCAAGTTCGCTCTCCGTAATTTCCTTCGCTCCTTTGCGTTCTTACACCGTCCTGGGCGGTGTTCACGACCATCGCTCTTCGGAAATTCATCCAGCTTCAGACCATCCTTTAAGTGATCGAACTTAGGTATTTTCTCCTTAATAAGATGATCCAAGTTACATGAATGTAACGTGGCAGCTCCATAATACGATGCATTAGAATACCATCTAGGAGACCGTATGTTGAGTACAGCTTTCATTGTCGCATTAAAGCTTGTCCCTGTTAATAGTGATCCCCGTTCTAGGCTAAGGATCCCTTTCGTATTCATCTCTTTCGTAAGGGCACCAAGCAATATTGACGAGCATTCGAAAGTGCATCCGGATCGATCATCGCGCAGGTATAGAAGCAGATCGTGGAGCACAGCAAGGATCTGTTCGACGGATTCCTGTCTCTTTTGGTCGATTGTATCTAAAAAGGCTGGTTAGATACTGTGCATAATAACGTTTTAAGGATACTAACCAACGAGCTTTTCTGGGATTGGGAGGCGCAAAGTTTGGAGTGCTCCCTTACTCTCCATCAAGATAGTCCCAGTTATAACCTTAAACAGGTCGGCCCTGGAGAATACCCAAGATACAAATAGCCATAACACCAGCTCACGACAGTATTCCTTTGGCAAATCATGTTCCAACCTCGAAATCCACATCTCTGCTACAAGCTCAACCGCTTCATGACATTTATAATAATCAACCAGGACTGCGAACTTTGCGAGCATCTCTAGACGTACAGATCGGGGAACGTTTCGATTTCGGCCGTGAAGAATATACATTAGGATCAACAACGCATCAGAGTCCCAATCCTCTGCATATACAGAATAATCGGAACCAGGTTCTTTGGTGCCTTCTTGCCAGGGCCCTTTCAGCATAGAGTCGAAGTAGGGAGAGGCTAACATAAGATGTCTAGACGAAAGTCGCATGCGTGTTTCCAGGGAATTGAGTGGAAGGGTCAACGAGCCGGCCATCACATTCGGTAGATTCCATGGTAGTGTGTCAGCCGAACCAGATAAACTGGCGTTGGCAGGATTGTCAAATCGATCCATTCCAAATTTGACGAACTTGATGAATACGTTTTTGTCGTTCGACAGAGGACAGGTAGGTTCTTTAGCCCATAATCACAGGGGCTACTAACAGATACGCAGATAAGACGACCCAGAAGACAACGTCCTACCTGGATATCAAGTCTACATTTCTGCGGGATATCCTAAGAGAGGCCTGCCATGACGTCCGCGGGATCTCCCTGGCCGAGAATACACCATCGGTATGTACTGTGACCGTTACTATCGTCATTGTCATTAGTTACTGACATTTTCAGATTGAGCGGGATGCCGCCTTCCATGTCCGCAAAGATCTCCAGCAATACCAACAGCGTCTTGCTGGCGAAGGCGAGGAAACTATGGCCGAGAAACATTTGGGTCTGTTTATGCGGTATCTTGAAACGGCTTTTAAGCCAATCGACGATCGTCTGTCTGTTCTCTTTGCGAGGAACGAGATTACATACGACCTGCTATGGGCTTTATTCAAGCCCAACGCAGAGGTATACACAAGCTGCCGAGGGACCAATGTGCCGAGATGCGTCCTATTCAACCATCTGGAGGAAAGGACAGACGTGAGCGGCTCGAAATTCATCCGTCTTGAGACCCGATACCTAGGCTCCGACGGAGAATCCCTTGGCGAGGTCACAACAAGCAGCTCAATTGCTGTCTTCCGCGGTGCTATGCGGATTGAGCTTCTCCCGGCGTATCCTCTGCAGTATCACCCCGAAGTAAAGGAGATCCGCAGCCAGCTGGTGGAATGTGGCCGCAAGTTCGTATCTTTGCTTGGCATTCACCATCGACGGTACACAGGCAGAGCCTTACTGGTATGGGACAATCGCATCGAGTCATGTCACGGGATTTCAAGTGCAAAGTGAAGGACGAGAGTGCTCAAGCGAAACAAGCAGCCAGTAACCAGGTAGGTACCAATAGCGTAGTATAGGGGACTCAATAACGACAAGTTAATCGCTGCCCTCTCTAAAAGAAGAGGGGTCACAGCAGCCTAGTTATACATTTCCGACCCCTGTCCAGGCCAAGCCACTGTGGCTTATTTGCAGCTGACAGGACGCCCTCTCCCTATGGCTTCTGTCCTCAGAAGCCGAAGGTACTCAGCAGGTGTACCTCTGGGGTCCTCTGAAGGTCGACTCCCCAAAGCTAGGAACATCTAGTTCCGACAACCAAAACAACAATCCATCTGCTCCTAACCATAGACTTAGATTCGCCTCCAAGAGAACAATAGGAATCCACCTGCGATCCTCTCGTAGACACACACTCGCCTCCAAGAGAACAACAGGAATCCACCTGCGATCCTCTCGTAGACACACACTCGCCTCCAAGAGAATAACAGGAATCCACCTGATACCCTCCAGTAGACACACACAACTAACCGGTCACCCTTGGAACACCTCCGCAGGCCCAGCAGTCAAACTCGCCTCCGGGAAGAACAACAGGAATCCACCTGCTATCCTCCCGTAGGCACACACTCGCTTCCAAGAGAACAACAGGAATCCACCTGCAATCCTCTCGTAGACACACAACTAACTGGTCACCCTTGGGACTCATCCGTGGGCCCAGCAGTCGAACTCACCTCCGGGAAGAACAACAGGAATCCACCTGCTATCCTCCCGTAGACACACAACTAACTGGTCACCTTTGGGACTCATCCGTAGGCCCAGCAGTCGAGCTCGTCTCAGTCAGCACCAGGAATCAGACCTGTTCCTCACGATATGCTGACTTCTGGTAAGTCAAGTCCATAGTGCCTCTCTGGTATTCCGGGCGTAGCCAGTGGTTGTGAATATCGATGTGCCTTAGCTTCGTCTGTAATTTGGCATTTTCTTCTACAATAAGCCGAATCCTCTGTTTGTTGTCAACCTCGATAGTTAACTGTTCATCCAGATCGACGCTCAATTGGTGTAGTTGCCTTTCAAGGGCTATAGCTTCCTTGACGGTGGCTGCCACCCCCTTGAGCTCGGCCTCCGTACTCGAGGTGACTACCGTATCTTGCTTACTGGATCGCCAAGCTATCGGTCCGCCCAAGAGCTTGATAACGTATCCCATAGTGGACTTTCGGTCAGTGTGGTCCCCAAAGGACGCATCACTTGACACTACGAGATTACGGGGCTGCTGGCCATCCTGTTCCTCCGGGCCCTTTGGAATTGTAGCACAGGACCCTCCGTCTTCGAGTACTAGATCTTTCGTGCCGGATAAGTACCGTATGACTTGGTCGATGGCGGCTTGGTGCTGTGGGCCAGGATTCTGGCTGTATTGAGCCAGTCTGCAGACGGCCTCTGCGACGTCCGGTCGTGAGGTTATCGCTGCGTACAGTACGCTACCGACCTTCCTCTGATACAGTCGTTTGGTATCTTCGTCAGCCTGGCCGTCGAAAGGCTTCAGCTCATGGTACGGGTTTCTAGGCACTTCTGGATAGTTGCCAACCGTCTGAATTTGGTACTGTCGAACCAATTTGTCAATATACGACCTCTGTGACAGCCATAGGCGCCGAGTGGCCCTGTCCCTAGCCACTTGTATGCCAAGGAACCATTTGAGGTCCCCTAAATCCTTCATCCGGAATCGCCCGCTTATTTTGGTGACAAATTCGTCGGCCCTGGGCCTATCTTGGGGTCGGAAGAAGAGGCAGATGTCGTCGACATAGAAGAATAAGATGAGCCAGTCGTTAGAATAGATACAGCCGTCCTCTGGCACGGCCTTGAGCCCCAGATCGGTCAGTCCTGCTCCCAGGTCTCTTTGCCACAGCAATGGGGAGCGGCGTAGGCCGTGGAGCGCTCTCTTCAATCGTAGGCAGTATCCTGGCTGCTTGAAGCCGTCAGGGAATCGGACGTACACAATCTCGTCTAATTCTACGTGCGTAAACACGTTTATTGCGTCCAATTGGCGCATATCCAAGTCGAATTTAGCTGCGATTGCCATAAGCGTACGGAAAGATCGTCCGGCTAGTGTGCTGGCGTACGTGCTGAGAGACGAGCTTGGCTGTAAGTCACCTCTTACAACTAGGCGAGCCTTGTATCGTATTACGTATCCGTGCTTATCGAATTTGTACGTGACGTACTGCTTTGTAAGGGAGTAGCAGAGACATCCGAATGCCCTCAGGTGGCTGATTTCTGGCCTGTAGTCTTCTTCTTGACGGCCTTTCCTCTGTGCCAGCCAGCGATTCGTCGCTTCCAGAGGGGTCTTCCATCCTAGGGCTTTTGATGGGGAGCGATTAAACAAGTACGCGGCTGTCTCTACGGCCTTTGGGCGTAGACTGGCTGGTAGGCCGGCACCTATGATCATGGCTCTAGCCCTCGCGTTCAGGACGCCTCCAGCTCTTTCTGCAGCCCCATTGGGTTCCTTGGTGTACGGCGGCATGTGTTCCCAGATAATGCCCTTGCGTAATGCAAGCTCTTTCAGGCTATTCCCAAAAGCGGCCTCGTTGTCTGATGTGATAACCTTGACCCTGACCTCTAGTTGTGTCTCAATGAATCCTATCAGGCTGATCAGAGCGTTCATAGCCTCTTTTTTACGACGGAAGGTGTATGCGAATTTCACTCCGAAGAGTGTACATGTCCCGATCAGGGCTCTAGTACGCTGGTCATAGGCAGGGAGGTACTCGAAGAGGTCCACTGCTATGTGCTCGAATGGGCCATGTCTTTTGGATCGTGGCCTTCGAGAGACGACCCTCCTTCCCTTGGCTAGGGCGCAATCCTTACACTGGATTGACTGTGGTGCAGTAATCTTGGCCCCAGTAGTCGCCGATACCGCTTTCTCGAGGGCTCTAGCGTTTAGGTGGCCAAGGCGACGATGCCAGGTGGTGGCATCGCCTGCGAGTTCCTTGTGGACTTTCCGGGCGTCATTACCGTGTAGATTATCGTCTTTGCAGCCTCTTTGGCGCACTTCTTCGTCGATCGTGGTCGAGTGTCCTAGTATAGGAAGAGGGTGGAGTATTCCGGGGGTATAGGATCCACCTACAGCCGGGCCCCTCAGGCTCGATCGCTGTGGTTCTGGATCTTCGTCTTCGGATGTGAAGATTTCCTCGTCGGATTCGTCCGTATCAGCGGATTCTTGTACCACGTTGTCTGAGTCGTCAGATTGGTCTGAGATGCTCGTGATGGAGTGGGTTACTTTCACGAGGCTGGCTACGGCCTGTGGGGTTACTGCTGAACCGTCCACTTGTTGGCCGTAGAATTGGCCGTAGATCTGGCCGTAGATTTGGCCACACTGGCCGAAACCTATATAGGTCGGAAATTGAGCACTGGCTGTCCCTCGTGCTCTGAGAGGTAGGCCAACGTTTCTTTCTGGGGCCCATAGTACAGTCTGGAGCCCTCCATGTCGTAGTACACACCTGCTTTCTTGAATAGACTGGCTGAGGCCAGATTGGAGTGCATAGATGGTACGTACGCGGCGTTGTAGAGTATGAAGTCTCTGTGGCCATCTGGGCCAAGGATTCGAATTCTGGCATCTCCCCAGAGCGCGATATCCAACTTCGTCCCCCCGGCTAGTAGTACGTCAGACTCTGTAGCCTGCCGCCGATTTGTGAGATTTGCGTCATTATTGACTACATGGACGTTAGCTCCTGTGTCGTAAATGACCGAATTCTTCAACGGATAGATCGTATCCGCCGAGATACAGCCGGCGGTCAACGTATTGTTGAGGGCGGGTCAGTTGTAGACCGTCGAGGCGCCAGCTAACGCTAGCCTCTGGTGGTTAGGTCTATCTTGGCCGTAGGTGCCGTCGCGAACAGCATCCACTATGACCTTGAGATTCTGTGGCAACTTGGCGTAGTTGGAATCCACAATCTTCTGGACGCTTTTCCTACCGGTCCAGTTAGCCGGTTTTATTGGGATAAGATAGTAGCACTTCTGCCACGAGTGCTTCTTTCCGCAGAGGCATTTGGGCTTCGAATCCACACTTCCTCTCTGTTGGAGTCCCTCTGACAGCGGTGCCGCTTCGCTCCTAAGAGTAGCATCAAAGGTAGCCATGGATACGCTGCTGGTATCATCCCTGTTGAGGTCCAAGTGTCGTTGGAAGGCTTCGTAAATGGTGTCTACCGTAGGTACGTCCTCGTCTTTGGTAATCAGCTGATACTCCCACATAGGGTTGAACTCTGGTGCGGCTGGTTTTATTCCTCTGGCGAAGCTGTATTGAGGACGCTGGCCTTGGATTATCTCGCAGCCTGGCTCGGAGGCGTTGATGTAGGCTGTCCACCAGGCATCAGCCCATTTGGCTGCATTCTGCTTCTGGGCTGGCCTACAGGCCCTCAAGTAAGCGGCTTCCATGTCCATCTTGTGGGCTTGAGATCTTGTCTTGAAGTAGACTTGGATAGCCTTCATCTTGTCAGTCAGCATCTTCCTGGGGCAGAAGATGGAGTACGGCTCAGGGCTGATGGTTTTGAACAACCAGGCGGTGGATTTATCGGCTTTCTCTTCAAGGGCTTTGAATTCAGCTATTTCCTCGTTATACCTGGATAGGAACTGCTTCCACAGAGTGCGCTCGAGGTCTTTGAGGTCAGAGAGAGCTGTAGCGTCCTTGTTGACAGTATTCGGATGTGGATAGATTGGCTTCTCTGGCATGTCCGTAGGGTTGGATGGGTTGATTATTTCCCATAGCTGGCGGCCAGCCTTGACTTCGGCTATTGGAATCCATAGATGCCAGTCCTTCTTGGACTTCAGAAACACCGCTTCGCGCGTAACGGTGGTTTCGGGGGTTTGAAAGGCCATAATTGTCGACGGCTTCAAAAGGCTGACTGCTGTAGTACTGGCAGCGGCGTCAGAATTGCTCAATCCGTAGATGATGGTCAAGATAGAGCCGGTGCGGTTATTCCGGGCTCATAACTATTGGATTGTGGGCAAATGGTCTTGTATTGAAAGTGTCATGATCTCTG